GACACCGGGACACCGGGACTGTCACAGACACCGCGGCCCACCGGGCACACCGGGCCACACCGGGGACATCGGGGACATCGGGGAACACCGCCCGCGGCCGAGCGCGGCCACCGCCCCCTGCAGCCCCAGCCGCGACCCCCGCGCCGCCCCCGGCAGCCCCCGGCCCGCCTCGGACAGCGGCTGAGGGGCGGCGGCGCGGCTCCGGTGTCACCGGGGGTCACCGTTTGTCCCCTCGTGTCACCTCGGGCAGCGGCCGAGGGGCGCTGGGGTCACCCCCGTGTCCCCTTCTCTCACCTGGGACAGCAGCTGGTGGTGAGGGGGGACACGGGGGTCCCTCTGTGCCACCTCTGCCAGGTCACGGGACGGGGGGGGTGGGGACACCCCAGTGTGGGGACACCCCAATGTCCCCTCTGTCACCCCCCCCAGCTTTGGGCTGTGCATAACGGGGTGGGGGGGAGAGGCTGGGGACACCCCCAGACCCCTTTTTGTCCCCCCACCCTGTGAGGGCGGTTTTGGGGTGCGGGAGGGGTCACAGAGCCCTTTGTGCCTCCCGGTTTTGGGGTGCGGGAGGGGTCACAGAGCCCTTTGTGCCCCCCGGTTTTGGGGTGCGGGAGGGGTCACAGAGCCCTTTGTGCCCCCCGGTTTTGGGGTGCGGGGGGGCCCCGTGTTTATCTCTGGCCATCGTGTGGCCGTGCCCGTAGCTTTGTTCTGGAAAGCTCCGTATAAAAACCTCCTGCGTTCACTGTGCTGGGGCCCCCAAAACCCCCCCAGGGCCCCCCAAAATCCCCTCGGACCCCCCCGGGAACCCCCCCGGGACCCCCCAAACAATGGGAGCCGAGCTGAGCTTTTTTAGGGGGGGGGCTGGGAGAGGGGAGGGGACAGGGGGGACAATCCAGGAGCCCTGAGCGGTTTTGGGGGGGTGGGTCTAAAATTTGGGGACAGGGTGGGGGGGGTCGGAGGGGGGTCGGGGGAAGGAGAGACCCCCGTGTTGACCCCCAAAATGGGGGTGGGGGTGTATTTTTTGGGGAGGGAGGGTTTCTCCATTCCTGGCTCCACCCCCAAAGTGACCTTGGGGACGTCACCTCTCTGTGCCTCAGTTTCCCCCAGCTGGAAAATAGGGGTGGGGGGGTCTGGCGGGGGGGGGGCACCCCTGGATGCAATACTGAGCCCATCCCCCACCCCCGGGGTGGGTCAGGACCCCTCCCCACAGCCCTGGACCCCCCCCGGGTCCGGTTCTGTTCCACCCGCGGTGTTGGGGGGGGGAGATTTGCGGGAATTTTGAGTTTTTTGGGGGATTTTGGGGGGGCTGAGGCGCAAATTAAAGGAGCCTGAACTGGACGTGTCACTCTCTGCTCGGCCTGGAGGGTCTGGGGGGATTTTGGGGGCTTTGGGGGGATTTGGGGCATTTTAGGGTGGTTTGGGGGCAATTTTGGGGCGGTTTTGTAGGGATTTTTGGGTGTTGGGGAGGATTTTAGGGGATTTTTGAGGTTTTGGGGCCTATTTAAGAGGATTTTTAAGGTTTTGGGGCGGATTTTGGGGGACCCCTGACCCAGAAGTGTTGGGGACACTCAGGGGGGTGGGGAGGTGGTGGCCCCGTGGTGGCCCCGTGCGACAATCGGGGGAAACTGAGGCTGTCAATGATTAACGCGCGGTGCCTGGCGGCGGTGGCGCTGCTAGTGGCACCGCTGGTGGCACCGCTGGTGGCACCACTGGTGGCACTGGTGGCACCGGGGAGCAGCCGGGGGACATCGCGCTATGCCCGGGGGTCGCGTTTGTCCCCTCCCCATGCGACGGGCAGGTAAGGGCGGTGGCGGGGAGGGGACAGCGGCCATCGTCCCCAAGGGCTGGCAGGGGGACAGGAGGGGACACGGGGTCCCTGAGCGTCACCCGTGGCTGTTTCCCAGCCCAAACCGGGGGTGATAAGCACGCGGTGGCGGCGCTGGAGGTGACACCCCGAGGGACGCGGTGGCTTCGCGGCGCCACCCGGGAGGGACCGGCGCGTGGGGGAAACTGAGGCACGGTGACACCGGGGCGTCTGTGTCCCCTCCAGGGTCGGTCCGACCCAACCCGGAGCTGCCCCCCGTCCTCTGGGGACGCCCCTGTCCCAAATTTCCCCTTTTCCCCCCAATTTCACCCCCTCCCCTCAACCTCCCCCGGGGGCTCCTCCCGGTGCTGCCCCTCCCCCTTTTTTAACCCCTCCGTGCCCGGTGCTTCCCCCCCGCCCTCCCCGGGGGCGGGACCCGGGGCCGGTCCCGCAGCGCCGCCGCCGCCGCCGCCGCCTCCGCCGCTCCCGGCTGCCATTTTAAGGTGAACAAAGCGGCGGAGGAGGCGGCAGGTGAGCGGCTCCGCGGTACCGGCGACTCCCGGTACCGGCACCGGCACCGGCAGCGCGGGGAGAGGGCGGTACCGGAACGGGAGGGAGCGCCGGGGGTCTCCGCTCCCCGCTGGGAACGGGGGGGTTCGTCCTTCCCCGAGACACCGGGGGCCCCGCCGGGCTTTTCTCCGGTACCGCGGGCCGCACCGGAACCGGCCACGGGGCTCCAGAGCGGTACCGGCTCCTCACCGGCACCCGGGTCCCCGCCACCAGATCCAAAGCGGTACCGGGTCCCCACCGGGTCCGCAGCGGTACCGGCCACGGGATTCCAGAGCGGTACCGGAATACCGGCTCCGTACCGGTACCGGGCTCCCCGTCACCGCCGAAATCCCCTCCGTGCTCACCCCGGTACCGGAACCGGCCCCGCGGCTCCTCCCGTGTCCCCACAGCGGGCCGGGACCCCCGAGCCCCCGGTCCCGTCCCCGCCGGCTCCGGTCGCCGCTGCGGGTCACGGTGGCGTCCCGGGGGTCCCCGGTGGGGTCAAACCGGGGGATCCAACCGGGACCGGGGCATTGCGGATCGACGGCATCGGGAACCGGGACCCTTGGGCACCCCCAGAACTCCCCCCGAGCCCGGTACTACCGGAGCGGGAGCCCGATTTGGCTTTTCCGCAGGAATTCGCCTTTCCCGCGGGGCTCTGGGGTTTTTTTGGGGTCTCTGCATGTCCCGCAGGGCGTCCCCACGTTCATTTGGCTGATTTTAAGACCCCCCCAAATTTTCCTCGCGGCTCTGCCTCACGTGACCTCCGGAATTGTCGTGGTTTGGAATTATTTTGACTTTTATTGCGATTATTTCGATTTTTAATCCGGGATCAGCTCGGCCCCCCCCCCCCCCAACCCCCCGCCGCTTCCCATTCGGGAATTCCAAAAATCCCGATTAATTCCCTGCCACCTCCGGGCTGTGGGGACAGGGAGGTGACACCGAGAGTCCGGCGTGGCTGGGGTGGCACCGGCTGGTGACTCACCGTGCCTCAGTTTACCCACGTAAACCCACGGCGACTCTGTGCCTCAGTTTACCCATGGAACTTCTGGGGCGTCTCCAAGGATTTTGTTGGGGGGGGTCTCCAGGGGTTTTTTTTTGGGGGAGCGGAGGGTCTCCGGATTTGTTCCTGGGGTCTCCAAGGTTTTTTATGGGCATGATCCAAGGCTTTTTTGGGGGGGTCTCCGAGACATTTTTGGGGGATGTTTCCAGGTGTTTTTTGTGGGATCTCCAAGGGTTTTTTGGTGGGGTCTCCAAAGGGGTTTTTTTGTGGGGGTCTCCAAGGTTTTTTTGTGGGGGTCTCCAAAGGGGGTTTTTTGGTGGGGTCTCCAAAGGGGTTTTTTTTGTGGGGTCTCCAAGATTTTTTTGTGGGGTCTCCAAGATCTTTTTGTGGGAGCTCCAAGATCTTTTTGTGGGGTCTCCATGGTTTTTTTTGCGAGGGGTCTCCAGGGTTCTTTTGTGGGAAGTTTCCCAGGGTTTTCTGTTTGTTTGTTTGTTTGTTTGTTTTTGTGGGCTCTCCGAGCTTTTTTGGTGACTCCGACTCTGGGTGGCGACTCCCTGCCTCAGTTTCCCGCGGTAACTCCGGCTGGGTGGCGACGGTGACAAAGGGACCAAAGTCCTTCCCTTGCCACCCTCCGCAGGTGACAGACCCGTCCGCGAGTGGCTTTGTCCCCTTGTCCCCTGCAGGGATGTTCACCAAGAAACCCTACGACAGCCCCGCCAGCGGCTACGGGCCACCCCCGCTCACCTCCTACGGGCCGCCCGCGGGCGACTACGGCTACGATTTCAGGGCCCGCTCGCCGCCGCCGGGCTCCTACTACGTGGAGGACGCCCCGCAGCATTTCTACCGGTGGTGGTCGCCGCCGGGGCTCGTGCGGGTGCTGGAGGCCGCAGTGCTGCTGCTCTGCGTGGCCGTGTTCGCCTGCGTGGCCTCCACGCTGGCCTGGGACTACGGCTACGGCTACGGCTACGGCGGCGTGCTGGGCAGCGGCCCGGGCGGCTACTACGGCTCGGGCTACTACGGCAGCGGGGTCAACTACGGCTACGGCTACGGCGGCTACTACGGCGGCGTCACCAACCCGCGGGCGGCCAACGGCTTCATGATCGCCATGGCCGTGCTCTGCTTCCTGGCCCAGCTGGGGCTCTTGGTGGCCAGCCTGAGCAAGTCCAGCGGTTCGCGGTCGCGCCGCTTTTACCTGGTGGTCATCGTGGTGTGCGCCGTGCTGGCCCTGCTCATGTTGGTGGCCAGCATCGTCTACGTGGTGGGGGTCAACCCGCAGGCGCAGATGAGTGGTGGCTACTACTACAGCCCGCTGCTGGCCATGTGCAACCAGGTGTACGCCGGCGGCGCCGTGCTCAACCAGTACCTGTACCACTACTGCACCGTGGACCCGCAGGAGGTGAGCGGGGCACCGGGCACTGTGGCCACCGGGCACCGGGACCACCGGGCACCGCGGCCACCGGGCACCGGGGTCACTGGGCACCGGGGCCACCGGGCACCGCGGCCACCGGGCACCGGGACCACCGGGCACCGGGGCCACCGGCGGGGGGGACGGGGACTACCGGGAGGGGATGGGGACCACTGGAGGGGACGGGGACTACTGCGAGGGAACAGGGGACAACCGCGGCACGGAGACTACTGTGGGGGGACAGGGGATGGGGACTACTGGAGGGGAAAACTTTGGGGTTTGGGGAAGGTTTGGGGTTTGGAATTTGGGTAGGACAGGAAAATTTGGGATTCAGGAATCAGCCCCGCCCCCTCACTCACCACCCCCCCTTCCTCCCCCCCCCCCCGGCTCTTCCCCGCCCCAGCCCCAAACTGCAGCGATCCCAAATCATTCCCGGGATCCCGGCCCTGGTCCCGGTTCTGGTCCCGATCCCGGTCCTGATCCCGATCCAGAACCCGGTCCCGGTCTCAGTTCAGGTCCAGGTCCCGGTCCCGGTCTCGGTCCAGGTCCCGGTTTTGGTCCCGGTCCTGATCCTGGTCCCGGTCCCGGTCCCGGTCCCGGTCCCGGTCCCGTCCCTGGCCGGGCCCGCCGGGGCCGCTCCCTCCGCCGGGGCTGGAACTGGAATGCGGCGCTTCCAGCCCGGCCGGTGGGACCGGGAGCGCCTGGGGCCGCCCGGGACCGGCTCGGGATGGGGCCGGAACGGGGATGGGGCCGGCTCGGGATGGGGGCCCGGGGCTGGCTCCGGGAGCCCCCAGATCCTGCCCATCCTTCCCAAACCCCAAAATTTTCCATGGTCTTCCCAAATCCCAAACCTTCCTAAATCCCAAACCTTCCTAAATCCCAAACCTTACTGAATCCCAAACCTTCCTAAATCCCAAACCTTACTGAATCCCAAACCTTCCCAAATCCCAAACATTTCCCGTCCTTTCTGAATCCCAATACTTCTCAAATCCCAAATTAGAGATTTGGGGAGGACAGGGAAAGGTTTGGGATTTGGGAAGGTTTGGGGTTTGGGAATCAGGAAGGTTTGGGGTCTGGGAAGGTTTGGCATTTGGGGAGGACAGAGAGAATCTCTGGGATCGGGCTCATCGCCCACGCGGGGATTCCCGGGCTGAGAGGGCTGAGAGGCTGAGAGCGGCAGCGCCAGAATTCCCAAATCCCAAATTCCCGGAATTCCCGAATCCCGCATTCCCAGGCCGTGGCCATCGCCTGCGGCTTCCTGATGGTGCTGCTGCTGTGCCTCATCTGCCTCTTCGCACACAAAACCCGCAGCAAGATCTGGAAGTACGGAAAACACAACATTTATTGGGATCGCCCCCCGGCCGGCCACGAGGGGCCCGACGTGGAGGAGTGGGTGAGATTTTGGGGATTTGGGGGATTTTGGGGGGTTTGGGGAATGTGGGGAATGGGGTCCAGGGGATGCTTCCCGCCCCTTTTCCAGCGGGGTTGGAAATCCCCAAGTTTGGGATGGGTGCAAAGGGAGGGGTTTGGGGGATTGGGGGGCACCGGGAGTGGATTTAGGGGAATCTGGAGATTTCAGGGGGCATTTTGGGGGCTTCGGGGGGGAGTTTGGGGACTCCAAGAGGGCTTGGGGACACTGCCGGGTGACACCGCGGGGACACCGCGTGCGGTTTCGGTCTGGCCAATGATTAACCGGGAGGTGGCACCGGGAAAAGCCGGAGTGGTGGCACCTGGACGGGGACCTTGGGGACATCCCAGGCTTGTGTCACCTGCTGGGCTGGCCCGGCGCGCGCTGGGGGCGGGGTGGGAATGTCACAGCGTTCCCGCGGGAAGGCTTGGGACAGTGGCTTTAGGGACAGCCCTGTCCCTGTCCCGTGTCACCATCCCTGCCCCCATTCATGTCTCCTGTCCCCAGCCCTGTCCCCTATGTCCTCATTCCTGTCCCCTGTGTCTCCATCTCTGTACCCTGTAACCCCATTCCTGTTCCTGTCCCCTGTGTCCCCATCCCTGGCCCCATTCCTGTCCCCATCCCCGTCCTCATCCCTGTTCCTGTCCCCACCCCTGTCCCCTGTGTCCCCACCCCTGTCCCCTGTGTCCCCGTGCCACCACTCCCATCCCGTTTTCCCTGGGGCCGCGCTCCCTGCGTCGCTTTTCATTTGATTTGATTTTTTTGGTGATTTAATCTGATTTATTTTATTTCCCATTGTGCTCTCGCCCTGTTTGTTTGGGTTCCTTCGGGTTTATTTGCTCCAGGCCCCTCCCTGGCCGAACACTTCCTGTCCCTTTTGGGGACACGCTGCCACCCCCAGGTGCCACCCGCAGATGCCACCCCCGCCTGCCACCTCCCCCGCGCTTTTTCGGGGTGTCACCCCCTTTTGGGGACATCGGAGTCCCCAGGTGCCACCACGGCTTGGGGACACACCTGGCGGCCCCCGGGAGGGGACGGGGGAGGAAGTGGCGTGTCCGGCCGGATGTCCCCAAGGCCACCAAGCCGGCGGGGACCGGCGTCCGGCGCAAACAACCCACAAAGGGCCGGACGGAAGGGGACAGGGGACAGCCGGATGTCCCTTGTCCCTCTCGGGGCCACCCCGACCCTTTTGGGTGCCACCCTGAGGGTGTCACCAACCCCGAGCTCTGTCCCTTTGTCCCTTTGTCCCTTTGTCGCAGTCTCTCCACAGGGGTTTGGGGCTTTTGGGGCTTTTGGGTTTTTGGGTTTTTTGGGGTTTCTGGGTTGTTGTTTTTTTTTTTTTTTAGGGGGTTTCAAGGGTTTGGGGGTTTTTTTTTTGGTTGGTTTTTTTTTTTGTTTGTTTGGGGTTTTTTTGTTTTTTTTTTTAATTTTTTTTTGGTGGGTTTTGGTTTTGGGGGTTTTTGGAGTTTTTGGGGTTTCTGGGTTTTGGGATTTTTGGGGATGTGCCTGGAGGATTTGGGGGACTCCAGGTGGGACAACAACCTCTGCTTCCCGTGGATTTTCTGTCGGATTTTTCAGGGAATTCTAGGGGATTTCTTGGTGGATTTCCAGGGAATTTTCTGGGATTTCTTGGGCAATTCTCAGGGAACTTTCAGGGACTTCTCCGGGAATTTCGGTACAATTCTCAGGGAATTTTCAGGGATTTCTCCGGGAATTTCGGTGCAATTCTCAGGGAATTTTCTCGGGGCGTTTCTTGCCGATTTCTCCTTTATCCCAGCTGAGTTTTTCCTCCCGAAATCCAAATCCCAACCCATTCTCCAGGTGAAGAACGTGTCGGGCGGGACGAGCGTTCCGGACGAGGCCGCCACGGTCGCGTACTCGGAGAAGGGCGAGACCCCCGGGCCGGCCCCACCCTACAGCCCCCCCTCGTACAGCGACCCCCCCCAAAAGGGCTGGAAAAGGTGGGGAGGGGGCGGCAGGGGGAGGGGAAGGGGGGAAAGGGGTGGGGAATGTGGGGAGGGGTCGGGAAGAGGGGTGGGGAAGGGAGATAAAAGGGAGGAAAAGGGTGGGAAATTGGGGAAGGGGAGGGAAAGGGGTGGAAAAAGTGGGGAAGGGGCAAAAGAGGGAGGGAAATGAGAGCAGGGGTCAGGAAAAGGATGGGGGGTCGGGAAACTTCGGGAGGGGTCAGGAAAGGAGTGGAAAAAGTGGGAAGGGGCAGGAAAGGGGTGGGGAATGTGGGAGGGGTCGGGAAAGGTCGGGAAATATGGGGAGGGGATGGGAAAAGGACGGGGGGTGTCGGGAAATAAGGGGGGTGGTCGGGAGAGGGTGGGGAAGGGTCTGAGGGGCCAGGAAAGGGGAGACCCCCCCAGGGCCGTGTCCCCGTGTCCGATGCCGCCGTGTCCCGGCAGTGACCCTCCCCAGGACCCCCCCTCGCCCCCGGAGGAGGAGCAGGATGCTGCCCCTCCCCACCCCAAGCCCCCCGCCCGCCGCGGGCGCCGCCGGGGCCGGCGCCAGCCCGAGCGCGAAGGCTCCCAGTGCTCCCAGTGCTCCCAGTACGACACCGAGCCCACCACGGCCGCCGAGTCCGGTGACGAGCGCGACAGCGAGCAGTGGCACAGGTGACGCTCGGGGACAGCGGGACTCCGGTGTGCCCGTGCCCCATGTCCCCGTGTTCCGTATCCGATAGCGCCACGCCCAGTGTCCCCATGTCCATTTTCAATGTCCCCAGTGTCCCACTGTCCCCATGTCCCATTTTCAGTGTCCCCAGTGTCCCCATGTTCCATTTTCAATGTCCCCAATGTCCCCATGTCCCATTCCCAGTGTCCCCAGTGTCCCCATGTCCCATATTCAGTGTCCCCAGTGTCCCATATCCCATACCCAGTGTCCCCAGTGTCCCCATGTCCCAATGTCCCCAGTGTCCCCAATGTCCCCATGTCCCATATTCAATGTCCCCACTGTCCCCATGTCCCCTGTGTCCCCGCAGGCTGTACCCCATGATCGGCTCCCCGGGCGCCCGCCATACCCAAATGTCCCCATGTCCCAAATCCCATACTCGATGTCCCTAGTGTCCCCAGTGATGTCCCCAATGTCCCTGATGTCCCCGGGGGTGTCCCCGCAGGCTGTACCCCCCGATCGGGTCACCAAGCGACCGCCAGCGCTACAAGGCGGATTTCGGGGCGGAGCTGCGGCGCTACAAGGAGCTCTGCGCCCACATGGACGGGGTCAACGAGCGGCTGGCACAGCTGGCAGCACAGCTGGACCAGGTGCCCGAGGACAGCGCCCAGTACCAGGTGTGCCCCGCCACCCCGAGTGCCCCTTCTGCCCCTTGGCCACCCCTTTGCCACCCCCTTCTGCCCCTTTGTCACCTCCTTTTCACCCCTTTCTGCCCCTTTTTCACCCTTTTTGCCCCCTTTTCACCCCTTTTTCACCCCTTTTCACCCCTTTTTCCTTCTTTGTGACCCCTTTTTCCCTCCCCTTATTTCTCCCCCTGTTCCACCCCACTGTCCTGTCCCTGTCCCCCTGTCCCCCTGTCCCCCTGTCCCTGTCCCCCTGTCCCCCTGTCCCTGTCCCTGACCCCGCTGTCCCCGCAGGCCCTGGCCGAGGAGTACAACCACCTCAAGGACCTGAAGCGGGTGAGTTTTTCGGGGCTGGACTTTTTGGGGGGGGTCTCCCCCCTCTTTGAGGACATCCCCGGTGTCCCCAAACATCCCCTAAATGTCCCCAAACGCGTTCCCAGAGCCCGGAGTACCAGGAGAAGAAGCGGGAATCCAAAACGCTCCGGAACAAACTCTTCCACATCAAACGGATGGTGAGCGACTACGACAAACTCCGGGGCTGACCCCACAGCCAGCGCCCCAAAAAAGGGACATTTTTAGGGGGAACACCCCAAACCCCCCCCCCGACCCATCCAAAGACTTTTGTGCCTTTTTTTTGTGTTGAAAAAACCCAAAATTCCTCATTCTGAGCCCTCCCCAGTGCCAAGGGTGGGGGCGACTGGTGGCAGCTGTTGGTGTGACTCCCCCCACCCCAAAATGTCTCAAAATGTCCCCAAATGTCCCCCACACTCTTTGGGATCCCCCCAAGTGCCTTCCCCTGGTTGTAAATAGGGTTTTTATGGGGTTTGCACTCCCCTGGCTGCCTTAAAGGGGTTTTGGGGCTCCCAAATTGGGTTATGGGGGATAAAAAAAAAACCCTTTTGGGGTTTTGTTTTGTGGGGGGGACCCAAATCCCCAAATATTTCCTAGGGAATTGGTGGGAACTGCGGGAATTGTGTAATATTTTTAATTGTTTTGTAATAAATGAAGTGTAATTGTTGATTTTCATTTGGGGTTGGGGTGAAATGGGAAGGCCGAAGTTGTCCTAAATTTGTGAGGGGAAATCCCAAAAACCCTCCCACTTTTGGAGGGGAAATCCCAAAACCCTCCCAGCTTGGGAAAAGAAAACCCAAATTCCCACAAATCTTGGGAGAAAAATCCCAAATCTCTTCACTTTGGGAAGGAAATCCCAAATCTCTCTGTTCAGGAAGAGAAATCCCAAATCCCCTCAAACCCTGGGAAGAGAAACCCAAACCCCCCCAAATCCCAAATCCCCCATCCCACTGTTTCCAAAAAAAAACCCAAACTGAAGCAGAATTCCTGAAATCTCCAATTTCCCCCTCCAAAAATCCCAATTTCAGGACCTTTATGGAACATTCCCTTTTTTTGGGGTGGGTTTGATATCCCCAATTCCAATTTTTCTGCTGGATCCCAAATCCAGACCCCTGGGATTGTAGGAAATGTCTTTAATTGGCGTTAATTAATGGGTGTATATGGCCCAGCGAGGATTCCATCGGCAGGGAATGGTCCCAGAATCCCAAATCCTGAAATCCCAAATCCCAAAATCCTTAAATCCCAAATCCCGAAATCCTGAAATCCCGTATTCTGAAATCCCAAATCTTGGCTCATTCCAGACCTCCAGGGTTGTAGGAAACATCTTTAATTGGCGTTAATTAATGAGTTTATATGGCGGAGCGAGGATTCCATCGGCCGGGAATGGTCCCGGAACCCCAAAATCCCAAATCCTGAAGTCCCAAATCCTGAAGTCCTGGCTCATCCTGGTGCCAGCTGGGTGGGGACAGTCCTGGGGGGGCTGTGTCCCCTGTGTGTCCCCTCCACCTTTGGGGACACCCTGGGGACACCACCGGGACCCCAAAACTTTTGGGGACAACGTTGGGACCTCTTCTGGGGACAACGCCAGGACCCCAAAACCTTTGGTGACAACGCCAGGACCCCAAAACTTCTGGGGACAACAATGGGACCTCTTCTGGGGACAACCTCAAGACCCCAAACGTTTTGAGGACAATGCCGGGACTCCACAAATTCCAGTGACAATGCTAGGACCCCAGAACCTTTTGGGACAACGCCAGGACCCCAAAACCTTTTGGGACAACATCAGGACCCCAAAACCTTTGGCGCCAAACCCACAACTCTCCAGGCACAACCCGCGAGGGCACAGCCCCGTTCGGGTGGGACTGGGAGCTGCTGGCGTTGAGGAGAATCCTGATCCCATTCCGGGAGAAGGTCTGGCCCATTGTCCGGCCCATCCCATTGTCCAGCTCATCCCATTGTCCGGCCTGTCCTGCCATCCATCCCATCCTGTCCCATTGTCTGGTCCATCCCATTGTCCAGTCCATCCCATTGTCCGGCCCAACCCCATTGTCTGGCCCATCCCATTGTCCGGCCTGTCCTGCTGTCCATCCCATCCCATCCCATCCCGTTCTGTTGTCCAGTCCATCCCATTATCCAGTCCATCCCATTGTCTGGCCTGTCTGGTTGTCCAGCCTGTCCCATTCCATCTTCTGGCCTATCCGGATGTCCAGCCCGTCCCATTGTCCGGTCGATCCCATTGTCTGGCCCATCCCGTTGTCTGGCCCGTCCCATTGCCCATCCTGTTCCATTTTCTGGTCTATCCAGTTGTCCAGCCCATCCTGTTGTCCGGCCCATCCCATTGTCCGGCCCGTTGCATTTTCCAGCCCATCCAGTTGTTCATCCTATCCCGTTGTCCAGCCCATCCCATTGTCCGGCCCATCCCACTCTCCGGCCCGTTCCGTTGCCTGTCCCGTTCTATTTTCTGGCCCATCCGGTTGTCCATCCCATCCCGTTGTCCGGCCCGTTGCATTTTCTGGCCCATCCCATTCTCCGTCCGTCCGTCCGTGCGCCCGTCCCTACTGCCCGGCGCCGTAGGGCCAGTTGAAGGTGCTGCCGGACAGCAGCATGTCGCGGATCAGGGTCTCGATGGGGGTCTTGCCCACCAGGCGCATGAAGAAGAGCTGCGAGATGAGGGCGGCGGGCACGGCGCGCAGCGCGGGCAGCCGCAGCAGCAGCCGCCCGAAGCGCTGCGGCTGTGCCGGGAACTGCGCGCGCTCGTACTCGGTCAGCGCCACCTGCGCCTTCTCCTGCAGCGTCTCCACGTGCGCCGGGTCCGACAGCCCGCAGGCGTCTGCAAGGCAACGGGGCGCGTTGCAGGCACGGAGCAGGGCAGGTGTAGGGGTGGAGTAGGGGAGCTGCAGGGGCTGGAGTACGGGATTTGTCGGGGATGGAGTATGGAAGCTGTAGGGGACGGATGCCACAGGATCCACCAGGAATATCCCCAGGGAATATCCCAAAATCCAGTGTCCCCAAATTAATTGGGAATATCCCCAAATCTATTGGGAATATACCAAAATTTACCCATCCCCAGCCCCAAAACCCTTGGAAAAACCTCTCCATACCCATCCCCAACCCCAAAAACCCTCAGAAAAACCCGGAAAAACCTCTCTGTACCCATCCCCAACCCCAAAAACACTTGGGAAAACCTGGATAAACCTCTCCATACCCACCCCCAACCCCAAAATCCCCCAGAAAAAACCCAGAAAATCCTCTCCATACCCTTCCCAACCCCCAAACCCTTGGACAAACCTCTCCATACCCATCCCCAAACCCCAAAACCCTCAGGAAAATCCCCTCCCGCGCGACCCCGGCCGCGCACCGGGCGTGAAGAGCGCGATGGCCTTGAGGCAGCTGTACTCGGCCGAATCCACCTGCAGCCGGTTGAGCTTCTCCACCTGCTCCTGGAAGACGCGGATCTGATCCATGAAAGCCACCACCCTGTCGGCCGACATGGGCGAGGCGTGGAAGCCGGCGGCCGCCAGCAGCGGCGCCATGTGCAGCGGCAGCGCCGACTGCGCCGCGTTGAGCACGAAGAGCTCGCTCCAGCTCAGCCGCAGCAGGGCCACCTGGTCGGAGACGGGCAGCTCGGGGAAGAAGGGGATGTTGCGCGCCCACTCCACGGTGCTGAAGAGGAGGCGGGCGGCCAGCTCGCAGATGTTGTCGATGGCCATGGCGCCGCCGGGCTGCTGCGCGTACTGCGCGCCGTAGCGCGCCGCCGGGTAGGGCTCGGCGCGCAGCAGCTGCGAGATCAGCTCCGACACCGGCTGCCCGTTGAAGAAGTCGCCGGCCGCGGGGAGGGCATTGGGGCTGCCCCCGGAGTGGCTCGGGGGGATGCGGCCTCGCTGGACGGCTGCGGCGAGGAGGGGCGGGAGTCAGTCGCCATCCCGGAAAATCACGCCGGGTTGTCGGCCCCATCCCGGAAAATCACGCCGGGTCTTTATCCCGATACCAAAAAATCCCACTGAATTTTCATCGCCGTCCAAAAAATCCCACCAGATTTTCATCGCCATCCCAAAAAAATCCCACTGGGTTTTCATCACAATCCCAAAAAATGCCAATGGATTTTCATCCCCATGCCAAAAAATCACACTCGGTCTTCGTCGCCATCCCAAAAAATCCCACTGCATTTTCATCACAATCCTGAAACAAATCCCACTGGGTTTTCATTCCAATCCCAAAAAATGCCAACGGACTTTCATCCCCATCCCAAAAATCCCACTGGATCTTCATCCAATACCAAAAAATCACACCGGGTCTTTATCCCCATCCTAAAAAATCTTACTGGATTTTCATTACCGTTCCAAAAAATCACACTGGATTGTCATCACAATCCCCCAAAAAAATCACACTGGGTTTTTATCTCAATCCCAAAAAATCACACTGGATCTTTATTGTGATTCCAAAACATCCCACTGGATTTTCAGCCTGATCCTACATGCATCCCACTGGATTTTTGGGATAAACCCATGATTTTGGGGTTAAACCCAGGATTTTTGGGATAAACCTGGGATTTTTTGGGATAGACCTGGGATTTTTTGGAATCCACCCCATCCCGCAGCCCCACTCCCAGCCCCAGATGGGCTCAGAAAACCCCAAAAAAATCCCCCAAAAAAGGGGGGAAAACAGGGTTTTTTCCCCCAAAACGCATCATTCCCCGGATTCCTCGGGGTTTTTTGGGAATTTTTTCCCTACCTTCCTTCCTCATCCCCACGCGGAAGCACTTCTTGAGGCGGCAGTACTGGCACTGGTTCCGGTGGTGCTGGTCGATCTGGCAGTCCCGGTTGGATCTGCGGGAATCGTCGGGATCAGCCAGAATTCCCGGGAATTTCAGCCCCACCCCCATCTATCCTGGGAATCCCGGATCCCCTTTATGGGATTTTTTGGGAATGGTCGCCGCTGATGGATTTTTCCCCGCCTCTGGAAAGCTTTTGGGATTTCATTCTTGGTGATTCCATGGAAGCGGCTCCCAGAATTCCAAGGAATTCCAAGGAATTCTGGCAATTTCCTGCGGGGCTGGGCCTGAAATCCCTCAGGCAGCTCTGACCCCAAATCCTGCGGGATTCTGGGATAAAGGGAGAGAATTCCCAAAATTCCTCACAGCCTGCAAAAGGGGTCCTGGCCCATGGATTCATCCCACAATTCCCAAAATCCCTGCAAAAGGGGTCCTGGCTCCCGTTCCTACACGGAACCCCAACAATCCCCATGCAGATCTTTCCCAAATCCCAACAGTCCCCACATGGATCTTATCCCAGATTTTTTTTGTTTTTCCAGTGGATGAAAATACCTGGGGGAGCCCCCAAGGTCTGGGAGTGTCGGGAAGAGATCCCAAAATTATCCTGGATGTTTTCCCAGTGGATAATATTTTTCCCCACCTGGATAATTCCTTGGAATTTTGGGAAAATATCCCAAAAATTATCCCAAAATTTTTCCCAGTGGATAGAACCAACCAGATAAATCCTCGGATTTTTCCCGAGGGCCGAACCCTCCCCCACCGTGGGGAAAACCTTTCCCAAAAATCCCCTCCGGAGTTTTCCAATGGGAAAGGCGGCAGCGAGCCGGGAAATTTGGGAAGCTCCGAAAGGCCCGGGCTGTGCTTAATGACTTAATTAGGACGGGTAATTAGCGGCAGCGACAATTAAAGGCACTTTGAATATGCAAATGAACTCGGGGCCGCTTTGGATTCCTGGAACAAAAGCGGGATCCTGGAGCTTTGTTCCTCTGGAAAAGCCAAAAATTCCCAAGTCACTTCCTGGCTTTTGAAATTAAAAAAAAAAAAAAAGGGAAAAACCCTCTAGAATATCCCAAAATTCCAGCGATTCCCAAATAACTTCCAGGCTTTTTAAATTAAAAAAAATAATGGGAAAAAAACTTCAGGAACATCCCAAATCCCAGATCTGTCAGCCCTTCCCTATCCCAGGTATTTCACTCCAGTTTTTCCCATTTTTCCGGGAATTTGTAATTCACCAAATCCCATCTTTATCCCCAGAAGGGAAACTGAGGCAGGGCCGGGAGCAGCATCCACAGGGAGGTGATTTGGGATTTGGGAATACGGGTGATCCCAAAAAAGATTCCCAAATTTCCCGGCTCGCTGCCGCCTTTCCTGTTGGAAAACTCCGGAGGGGATTTTTGGGAAAGGTTTTCCCCACGGTGGGGGAGGGTTCGGCCCTCGGGAAAAATCTGGGAGGAATTTTGGGAGCTTTTCCCGAAATTCCAAAGCCACGGTGGGAATTATCCCGGTGTTTTTATCCACTGGGAAAAACTCCGGGATGATTTTTTTGGGAAGTTTTTCCAACTGGGAATTCCGGCCTGTGCCGCCCCTGGAGCTGGCAAGGGACTGAGGGAATTCCTGTTGGGACTTGGAGAAATCTGGGATGGTTTTTGGGTAGTTTTTCCCAAAATTCCAAGGCTGTGGTGGGATTATCCAGATGATTTTGGCTATTGGGAAAAATCCGGGATAATTTCAGGATCGGGAGCTGATTCCAGCTGGGATTGGAGCCAGGATTAGATCCAGCCGCTCCCGGATGTTTCCCAATCCTTTTCCCTTCTCCCAAAAATTCCAAAGACCTCCCTGAGCTGGGATGAGGGAATGGAGACTCTCAGAAATTCAGGAATTCTGTCCTCTGGGAGCAGCCTGGCACTCCCTTGTTCCAAATTCTGGGAATTCCGGACGTTCCATCAGCTCCGAACTTCCCGAGGATCCCATCCCAGATTCCTCAGGGATCCCAGATCCCAGAATTCCAGGGGATCCCCGCTCCCATTATCCCAGAACTCCAGGGGATCCCTGCTCCTGGTATCCTGGAATTCCAGGGGATCCCCAGTCCCATCATCCCAGAATTCCAGAGGATCCCTGTTCCCATTATCCTGGAATTCCAGGGGATCCCTGTTCCCGGTATCTCGGAATTCCTGCTCCTGGTATCCCAGAATTCCAGGGGATCCCCGCTCCCATTATCCCAGAACTCCAGGGGATCCCTAATCCGGGTATCCGGTAATTCCGAGGGATGCCTGCTCTCGGTATCTCGGAATTCCAGGGGATCCCTGTTCCCCGTACCCCAGAATTCCAGGGGATCCCCACTCCCCGTATTCTAGCAGCTCCCCGCTCCCGGTATCCCGGATCCCGCTCCCGGTTTCCCGGATCCCACTCCCGGTATCCCGGATCCCGCTCCCGGTATTCCAGCCGATCCCCGCTCCCGGTATCCCGGTGCTCCCGGCGCTCCCGGCATTCCCGCGGCTCCCGTTGGATCCCGGCCGTGCCCGGAGTGAGTCACGGGCACCGCGGGAATGCCGGGAGCGCCGGGAACACCGGGATGGACCGGGAATGGATCCCTGGGGAGGGGCCGGGAATGCACCGGGAATGCATCGGGGGATGGACCGGGAATACCGGGAATGGGGGCGGCCGGGGGGCGGAAACCGTGCTGGACTGGGGGAAACTGGGATGGACTGGGGGATAATGGGGTGGACTGGGGGATAATGGGGTGGACTGGGGGATACTGGGATGGACTGGGAGCCGCTGGGCTGAACTGGGATCACGATTTCGAGCTGCACTGGGGACCCCTTGCCTGTCCTGGGTGGGCCTCGTGCCGCACTGGTTTGTACTGGGAGACCCTCGTGCCGGACTGGGAGCCACTGGTTTGTACTGGGACACCCCCAGCACCACCAGACCGAGACCCCAACTCATCCCCAGCCGGGATCCCCCCGCTGTCCCCCCGGTCCCCTCCCGGTGCTCCCCCGCTGTCCCCCGCTGTCCCCCCGCGGTGTCCCCGCTGTCCCCCGCTGTCCCCCCGCTGTCCCCGCTTTCCCCCCGCTGTCGCCGCTGTCACCTGCAGGTGTAGCTGAGGTTCCTGCGGATGCTGCGCTTGAAGAAGCTCTTGCAGCCCTCGCAGGTGAACACCCCGTAGTGCTTCCCGCTGGATTTGTCCCCGCACACCACGCAGTCCGCGCCGGCCCCGGGCCGCTCCTCCTCGCCGTGCTCCGCGTCGCTGCCGCCGCCACCGGGGGACGCCGCCTCCTCCGCTCCGCCGCCGCCGCCTCCGGTGCCACCGGCTCCGCCACCGTTCGGTTCGCCCCAAGCGCCGGCCACCATGGCCATGGCTCCGCGGGGCCGCGGGGGCTCAGCGCCGCATCGAGCGGAGCCTGCCGGTGCTGCTGCTGCTCCCGGTGCTCCTCCCGGTGCTTCTTCGCCCGCTTCTTCTCCGCCCGATGCTGCTTCTGCCCCCGGTTCTGCTTTCGGTGCCGGTTCTGCTCCCGGTTCTCCTCCCGGTTCTTCTTCTTCTCCCGGTTCTTCTCCGGTTCTCTCCTCCCGGTTCTCTCCTCCCGGTTCTTCCCCTCCCGGTTTTTCTCCTCCCGCTGCTTCCCCACGCCGAGTTCGGTAAGTTTTACCGAGGAACCGCTGGCTGGGAAAAGCGCCGCTTTTTGGGGTAGTTTTTCTTTTTTAGGGATTTTTTTTGGGGTCGCCCCCTCAGGGATTTGTCGCTCTCCTCCTCCTCCTCCTCCTGCCGGTTCACGGCCCCGCGGAAAGTTTGCGGCGGCGGCGGCGGCGGGGCCGGGGCGCGGCGCATCCCCCCGCGGGCACCGGCCGCATGCGGGGCCGCTCCCGCCCCCGGTGGCTCCTGCGCTCCGCGGCACCGGCTGGAAGGAGGAGGAGGAGAGGAGGAGGAGGAGGAGGAGGAGGAAGGAGGCGGCGCTGCCCCGGTTCGCCCTCGCCGCTCTCCGGGCCCCGCCGCCGCTCGCAGCCCGGTGCCGGTGCGGCTGCGGGTGCGGCGGGACCGGCTCCGCCGAGCCCCGGGGCTCTCCCCGCCTCCCGTGAAAGAGCAAAGTTCAGCCGCTGCCGCGGTGGCCGCCCTGGATGCTCCTCCCCGGCCTCCTCCCCTTCCGCTCCCGGGTCCTGCCCCGGTCCCGGCCCCGCCGCCGCCGCTGCCGCCGCACCGGGGCCGCCCCCCGCGCCCCGCGGGTCGGGACCGGCCCCCGGGACCGGCGGGGCCGGGGGGAGCGGGGGAACGGGGGAGCGGGGATGGAGAGCGCGGTTCGGGCTCTGCAGGCGGCGGCCGCGGCCCCTCCCGGGCCCCCGGCGGTTCGGGCACCCCCGGGGCTCGGCCGGCACCGGGAGCTGCGGGGACAGCGGGAGGCTGGCACCGGGAAACCGGGATGGGGCTGGGAAACCGGGGTGGGAAACCGGGATGGGGCTGGGAAACCGGGGTGGGATTGGGAAACCGGGATGGGAAACCGGGATCAAACTGGGAAACCGGGATCAAACTGGGAAACCGGGATCAAACTGGGAAACCGGGATGGAAAACCAGGATGGGACTGGGAAACTGGGGTTAAACTGGGAAACCGGGATCAAACTGGGAAACCGGGATGGGATTGGGAAACCGGGATGGGAAACTGGGATGGGGCTGGGAAACCAGGATCAAACTGGGAAACTGGGATCAAACTGGGAAACTGGGGTTAAACTGGGAAACTGGGATCAGCCTGTGAAACCGGGATGGGACTGGGATCCTAAGATCAAACTGGGATCTCGGGATCCAAGCGAGGGCCTGGCACAGCTCCGGGATTCCAGGATCCTACTGGGAGCCCCACGGTGTACCAGGAACCTGGCACTGGGATAGGAGCCCCACGTGGCACCGGGATCCCAGCATGGAACTGGGAATCCGGGGTCAAACTGGGATCACTGGGACTCTGGGTCAAACTGGGAACCTGGCATTGGTACTGGGATTCCAGGATCTCCCCGGAATCCCAGCATCAAACTGGGAGCCCCACACTGTACCAGGAGAAAATCCTGTGACCCCAAAAAGTCCTGCAGCCCCATAAAGTCCTGTGACCCCAAAAAGTTCCTGTGAGCCCAAAAAGTCCTGAGACCCCAAAAAGTCCCCACAGCCCCAGAAAGTCCTGAGACCCCAAAAGGTCCCTGTGGCCCCAAAAGGTCCCCACGGCCCCAAAAGGTCCCTGTGGCCCCATAAAGTCCCCGTGGCCCCATAAATTCCCCGCAGCCCCAAAAAGTCCCAGAAGGTCCCCACGGCCCCAAAAGGTCCCCGCGGCCCCATAAAGTCCCTGCGGCCCCACAACCGCGGCGCAATGCGGCCGATCCAGTCGGACCCGTTGGGGCCGGTGCGGCCCCCGGGTGGGTGTTGGGATTCCTGGGAATCATTAACCACGGGATCAGCGGGATAATCCCAGCGGGAAAAGGCACCTGACCCCCGGCACCCCGCCCTGCCCCGGGCACGGGGGCAAAGTCCCCAGAGTGACCCCAAACACCCCAAGTGTCCCCAAGGTGCCGGGCTGGGATTGGCCTCGGAGTTCCTGAGCCGCGCTGTGGGTCGGGATGAAGAGAAAAGCCGAGCTGAGCCTGGAATTGGGGCGCAGCAGAGGCGGCCATAAATGAAATTAAACCCCTGGATTTTGGGATCTGATCCTAAAGCCCCCCAATTCGTGGGATAACACCTGGAGAATCCAGCTGGGAACAGGGCTGGGTTTGGGGGATCCCAATCCGCAGAGTCCCCCTGTCCCCACAATGTCCCCAAGGGTGAGGGTGCCCCCGTTCCCTGGATTTAGGGTGCTCTGCTCACCGAAAATGACCGATCCTAAATCCCCCCAAACCATGGGATAACCCCTGGAGAATCTAGCTGGGAATGGGGCCGGATTTGGGGGATCCCAATCCGCCCCAGCAGGGTCACCCCTGCCCTTCCCCCCTGCCAGGCTGTGATTTACGGCCTCGGATTCCATAAAAACAGCCCAAAAAAAACCCCAAAAAAACCAAACCAAACCCCAACAAAACCCCAAATAACAACACAGGAACAAAGGGGGAAATCGGATGCGGGTTTGTTTGGACGTCCTCAGTGTTTGATCTCCAGAGGAATTCCAGCTCCCGAATTCCCGAATTCCCATTCCCGCTCCTCCTCCTTGCGCTGCTCCACCGCTCTGGCCCCACAAAAGGCCCCGGGAAGGCTCCGAGGCTTTTCCAGGTTCCTTTTTGGGGTCGGACATGGCACCAGAGGCTTTGGGGATTCTGGGGGGGTGTGGGGACGGGGACGGGGTTGGGGATGTGCTGGAGGTGGTGGAAAAGCGGGAAAAGATCCCAAAAATCATCCTGGATCCTTCCTAATGGACAAACCTGGCCTGGGGGGGGGGGGGGGGGGGGTCAGGAAAAGATCCCAAAAATCATCCCGGATTTTTTTTCCAGTGGGTGAAATCTCCTGGGTGGTCCCCACCATGGATTTGGGATTGGACTGGGGTTGTCCCCTGCTGTCCCCTCTGTCCCTCTGTCACCCACCTTTCACAAAGCGGATTTTGAACCTCAAAAGGCTCCGGGGGCAGCCCGGACATTGGACACGGACACGGACACGGACACTGGGCACGGACACAGCACAGACACGTTTCCCCATAGATTTTCAGATTTCCCCACAGATTTCCGGGTTTCCCCGTGGCATTCTGTGTTTCCCTGTGGATTTCTGGGTTTCTGCATGGATTTCTGTGGTTTCCCCATAGATTTTTAGATTTCTCGGTGGATTTCTGTGGTTTCCCCATAGATTTTCAGATTTCCCGGTGGATTTCTGTGGTTTCCCCATAGACGTTCGGCTTTCCCCGCAGATTTCCAGGTCTCCCCGCGGGCTCCCGGCGCTCCCTAGATGCAGGTCTCGCCGCCGCGCTGCAGGTCCCGCAGGCTCCGGGCCAGGGCTCGCTCCGTGCGGCCGTGCTGGCCCCGCAGCGCCGCCGCCCGCGCCCGCAGCCGCCGCAGCTGCTCCGCCTGTCTCCGCCGCGCCCCGCGCAGCGCCAGGGCCAGCGAGCTGCGGCGGCACCGGCCCGGGACACCGGCGGCTCAGGGGCCGGGCGGGACCGGGGGGCTCGGGGGGATCGGGGGCTGGGGGATTTGGGGAGTCGGGGGATGGGGGGGGTTCGGGGGTTGGGGGATTTGGGGAGTCGGGGGATGGGGGGGGTTCGGGGGTTGGGGGATTTGGGGAGTCGGGGATGGGGAGGTTCGGGGGTTGGGGAATTTGGGGAGTCGGGGGATGGGGGGGTTCGGGGGTTGGGGGATGTAGGGAGTCAGGGGATTCGGAAGACCCGGGGATTTAGGGATTTAAGGGGTCAGAGGAGCTGAGGGATCCAGGGGAGCCCGGGATTTGGGGATTTTGGGAATCAGGGAACTGGGGGAGCCAGGGGCATGAGGGGAACCAGAGAGAACCAGGGGACTGAGGGGCCCCGGACTCCCAGGACACCCAGGGGACCCGGGGGACACCCAGGACACCCAGACGACACCCAGGGGACACCCAGGGGACCCCGCGGGACGCCGCCCCGCGCCCCGTGCCCACCGGTGTGCCTGCAGGAGCCCGGCGGTGGCGGCGGCGCTCCGCTGCTGCCGGGCGCGGCTGGCGGCGCTGCCCCGCTCCAGGGCCCGCAGCAGCTCCCGGGCCCGGCCCCGCAGCCGCTCCGCCCTGCGGCACGCGTGGCACGGGAACCCCGATCCCAGCTCATTCCCGATCCCAGCTCATTCCCGATCCCAGCGCCATTCCCGGCCCCACAGAATTCCCGATCCCACACCATTCCAGATCCCAGCACCATTCCTGATCCCAGCACATACCCGGCCCCACAGAATATCCAATCCCACACCATTCCCAGCCCCACACCATTCCCAGCCCCACAGAATTCCCGATCCCAAACAGTTCCCAATCCCACACAGTTCCCAATCCCGCACAGTTCCCATCCCCACAGAATTCCCATCCCCACAGAATTCCCGGCCCCACAGAATTCCCGGCCCCACGCCGCTCCCGTCCCTCACCTGGCCCGGATCCGGAGCAGCTCCTCCCTGGTTCTCTCGGGGTCCGGGGGGCTCTGCGGAGCCATCGCCGCGCCCCGGCCCATCCGCGCGTCCTGCCGAGATTCCCGGGGTGTCTCCCGTGCCTCGGGATCCCCCGAACCCCGGGAACGGCCCCGTGGCACCCATCCCTACCTGCTCGGAGCTGCTGCCGGAGTTGCTGCTGGAGCTGCTGCCGGAGCTGTCGGAGGCTCCGTCCCGCTCCCGGTCCCGGTCCCGCCGCCGTTCCCGCTGCCGGTGCTGCAGCAGGAGGCGCAGCGCGGCCTGGCGGGGTCCGTGCCCGGCCAGGAGCAGCTCCAGGGCTCGCTTCTCCTTCTGGGCCAGCTGCAGCCGCGTCCGCAGCTCCGCCAGCGCCTCCTGCGCACCGCGGGGGAAACTGAGGCACGGGCAGGAGAGACGGGCAGGGAGCCGGGGAAGGGTCCAGGGAGGGAGCCGGGAAAGGATCAGGGGAGGATCCGGGGAGACATCCATGGAGAAATCAAGAGAGGGACCCAGGGAAGGATTCAGGGAGGGACCCACGGAGAAATCCATTAAGAAATCATGGGTGGGATCCACGGGGGAATCCAGGAAGGGATCCAGGGAGGGATCCAGGAAGGGACCCAGGGAGAAATCCATGAGGAAATCCAGAGAAGGTCCCAGGGAAGGATCCAGGGAAGGAATCCCGGGAAGGATCCATGGAGGGATCCAGGGAAGGATCAAGGAAAGGAACCCAGGGAAGGGATCCAGGGAGGGATCCAGGGAGGGGTCCAGGGAGGATCCCAAGCCCACCTTGAGCACGGCCAGCTCCTGCAGCAGCTCCTCCTTCTCGGGCCGCCTCCAGCCGGGCAGCAGCGCCCGCGCTTCCCGCAGCGCCCGCTCCGCCCGGCCTCGGGGGTCCCGCTCCCGGGGGGGCTCCGAGGGCTCGGGGGCGTCCAGCAGGGACCCCTCCACCGCCGCCTGCTCGGCGCGGAGCCGCCGGATGAGCTCCCGCAGCGCTCCCTCCTCCATCCCCCGGGAGCTGCGGGGCGGGCACGGCGGCGGTGGGCACGGGGGACCCGGGGTGGGGGGCTCAGCGCCGGGACCCCCGCGCCCCCCGGTACCTGCGAGCCCCGGGGCTGTCCGCGGGGTCCTCACGGCTGTCCGGCTCCGCGGGCTCCGGTGTGGCGGGGCCGGGTCCCGGTTCCGGTGTGGCGGGGCTGGGTCCCGGTTCCGGTGTGGCGGGGCCGGGTCCCGGTGCGCGGCCCGGGCTCGGTTCCGCTGCGGTTCCTGGGCATGGTGCGGGCAGTGCCGCTGCCCAGGACCACCCTCAAGGGGGTGTGGGGGGTTTTGGGGTGCCCCACAAGCTCCTTCCATGCCCCCGAAGTCCTCCCAGCACCTCCCAGTATCCCTCGTGCATCCCCCAGTGCCCCCACGTGTGCCTCAGGCTTCCCTTCAGTATCCTCCATGACTGCTCCTCAGTATCCCCCCAGTATCCCCCAGTATCCCCCAGTATCCCCCCTGATGACCCCCCAGTTTCCCCCAGCCCCCCCCAGTCCCCGCTGTCACTCACCCCCACGGGTGCCACCCTCCGGTGCCACCTTTGCCCGCACCCGGTCCAGGAGGGCGGCGTAGGCCTCCCCGCAGCGCTCGCTGGGGGACGAGGGGCTCAGGGGGACTGTCCCCACCCTTGTCCCCACCCTTGTCCCCATCCCTGTCCCCAGCCCTGTCCCCATCCCTGTCCCCAGCCCTGTCCCCATCCCTGTCCTCATCTGAATCCCCATCCCAATCCTGATCCCTGTCCCCGTCCCATCAACACCATCCCATCCCTGTCCCCATTCAGGTCACGATTCCGGTTCTGATCCTGAGGGGTTCAGCAAGAGTGTCCCCATCCCTGCCCCTGTCCAGTGTCCCCATCCCTGTCCCCTGTCCAGTGTTCCCATCCCTGTCCCCTGTCCAGTGTCCCCATCCCTGTCCCCTGTCCCTGTCCCCACCCCGGGGGTCTCGGGGCACTGTCCCCATCCCTGCCCCTGTCCCTGTCCCCGTCCCGGGGCACCTGCAGCGCAGCGCCATCCGCAGCCCGCTGCAGCGGGACTCTCTCCGGCCCAGCTCCATGCTCAGCCGCTCCGCCTCGCCCTTGCACTCGCCCAGCGCCGCCGCCAGCTCCCGGTTCGCCTCCTGCAGCCGCGCCAGCAGCCTGCGGGCCCGCGGCCACCGGGAACGGGCCTCAGTGCCCCACGGGCATTTGGGGGAACCGGGGGTTTGGGGGGACTGGGGGGTTTGGGGGCACTCGGGGGTTTGGGGGCACTCGGGGGTTTGGGGCACTCAGAGGTTTGGGGGCACTCGGGGGTTTGAGGCACTCGGGGGTTTTGGGGAACTCGGGGCTTTGGGGGCACTCACCCCTGCAGCTGCTGCAGCCGCTCCTCCTGCTCCTGGCTGGGGCCCGTCGAGGGCTGGGGGGACAGCGGGGCGGTGATCCCGGGGGCTCCCCCCGTGGGGTTCAGGCCCGGGGGGCTCCCCCCGTGGGGCCGGGCGCTGTCACCACCCCGGGTGGCATCCTGCGGAGGGGACCCCAGAGCCCCGTGCCGGGGCAGGGCCCACCCGTGCCCCAGCCCCGCGCTCACCCGGTGCCCCGGGGGGCTGCTGGGCCCGGGGGTGTCACCGGTCCCGGGGCTGTCACCGGTCCCGGGGGTGTCACCGACCCCGGAGGTGTCACCGACCCCGGGGGTGTCGCTCCCAGACGCCTCCAGCTCCTCCAGCCTGGCCAGAGCCTCCCGCAGGTCCCGCACCTGAACCGGACACGGGGCTCAGCACCGGGGCCGCTCCGGTCCCACCCCGCCGGCGGCCCGCGCCCCGCGCCCACCTTGCCCTGCAGGCGCTCCCGCTCGCCCCGCAGCGCCCGCAGCGCCGCCGTGGCCCGGCCCAGCTCCCGGTCCCGTTGCTCCAGGGCTGCCCGCAGGCTCGCGTTCCTCGCCGCCGCCTCCGCCGCCTCCGCCGGGAGCCCCGGCCCCGCCGCCCGCCCCGGGCGCGCCCAGCCCGGGCTCCGGCTCAGCTCCTCCAGGCTCTGGCCGTGCCGGGCCGGTCAGTCGGTGCCCGCCGTGCCGCCCCGGGCACCGCGGGCGGGCCGTGCCTCACCTGCAGCGCTCGGTGCCACGCCGGGGCGGGCGGCGGCCACGCCGGTGGCTGCCGGTGGCGGGAGAAGGCGGCGCGCTCCAGGGAGCTCACGGCGTGCTGCAGCCGCTCGAAGAGGTCCGGGCTGCGCGCTGGGGACAGCGACGGCGACACGGCCGCGGTCAGGGCGGGGACAGAGCGGCAGTGGCACACGCGGTGGCGCGGGGCGCGGCGCTTACCGTCCGGGCCGCTGGCAGTGGCGACAGTGGGGACAGTGGCGGTGGCCTCCCAGCCGTCCTCATCCTCGCTGCAGGGCGATGAAGGGCGCCGTGAGGTCCCGGTGTCCCCGCGCTCCCGGTGTCCCCTCAGTCCCGGTGTCCCCTCAATCCCGGTGTCCCCTCAGTCCCGGTGTCCTCTCGGTCCCGGTGTCCCCTCAGTCCCGGTGTCCCCTCAGTCCCGGTATCTCCTCGCTCCCGGTGTCCCCGCGGGTGGCGCGGGGCCGGTGCCGGTACCTGGCGGGGCGCTGCTGTGGCGGGGCCGCCCCTGCCAGCAGCGGGATGTCCTCGGTGTCGCTGGCCACGTCCTCGTCCTCGTCCTCCTCTTCTTCCTCCTCCTCGTCCTCCTCTTCCTCCTCCTCCTCCTCCTCCTCCTCCTCCTCCTCCTCCTCCTCCTCCTCCTCCTCCTCCTCCTCCTCGTCCTCCTCCTCCCCGCGCGGGGCCCGGGCTGCGGTGGCCGTGCCGGTGGCCGCGTCCCGTTCAGCCCCGGGGGCAGAGCGGGTGGCACCTACCGGCCTTTCCTGGCACAGGGGTGAGCTGTGGCCACCGGCCCCGGCCCGGGGTCCGGAGCGGGAATTCCCACCGGGGAGAGCGGCACGAGGAGCCGCGGGGCCGGCGGGGGCCAGGCCCGGGTGGGGTCAGGCCCGGGTGGGGTCAGTCCCGTTTGGGGTCAGTCCCGTTTGGGGTCAGCCCCGGGCGGTGCCCGCTCACCTCCTCCATTCCGGGATCGTCCTGCCCGAGGCTCTCAGGGCTCCCAGCACGTCCCAGTTCCAAACTGGTGCTCCCAGCAGGTCCCGGTTCCATCTGGGGGTCCAGGATGTCCTGGCTCCACACCCGGGCTCCCAGCAGGTCCCAGTCCAACCCCGGGGTTCCCATTCTTTCCCGTTTCCCCCATTCTTTCCTGGACCCCCAGTTCTCCCGCGGTTCCCTCGTTCTCTCCCAGTCCCCCATGTTCCCGTTCTCTCCCAGTTCCAGTTCTGTCCCCGTTCTCTCCCGGTTCTCCCCCGGTTCCCGCCGTTCTCCCCGGTTCCTCCCGTTCTCTCCCAGTTCTCCCCATTCTCTCCCGGTTCCCGTTCTCTCCCGGTTCTCTCCCGGTCCCCCGCCCGTCCCGGGCACCTCCTGTTGCTCCGGCTGCTCCTCCGGCCTCCCGGCCCTGTCCCTGTTCCTGCCGGGATTTCCTCTTCCTTTAACGGCTCAACTGCCCCGCCGGGGGGGGACCGAGGAGCCCTGTGCCCCCCCAGAAACCCCAAACCCCCCAAAACCCCCACAAAACCCCAAAACTCCCCCCAAAACCCCAAAACTCCCCCCAAAACCCCCAACCCCCACCCTCCCTGGTACCGGGACGCTCCCACCTCCACCCCACGGAGCATCCCCGCCACGGGACGGGGACCCCAGAACGGCTTTGGGGCGTGCCGGCGAATCTGGGGGCGCTTTGGGGTGCTGTGAGAACGGGGGGTGCTGCTTTCGGGATGCTGAGGGGGTATTTGGGGTTTGGGGTGGGGGTGTTGGGGGTGGAGCAGGGTATTTGGGGTGTGGGAGGCGGTTCTTGGGGTGCACGGGGGGATTTGGGCTGCACGTTAGGTATTTGGGGTGCGGGTGGATATTTGGGGGGCGCAGGTGGATATTTGGGGTGCGGGAGGCAGTTCTGGGGGTGCAGGTGGGTATTTAGTGCAGAATGGGAGGCTTTGGGGCGCAGAGGGGTGTTTGGGGGGCGGGAGGCAGTTCTGGGGGCTCCCGCGGGGTTTGGGGTGCGGCAGAGGCGCGGCGCTGTTTTTTGGGGGGGCTTTTGTGGGGCGGGGGGCGACGTCCGAGGACTACAACTCCCAGCAGTCCCCGCGCGGCGGTATTTCCGGCAGGAAAGGGCGGGGACAGGCCGGCGGAGAGCGGGGGGCTCGGGGGCTTCAGGGGCTTCATGGAGGCTCGTGGGGCGAACACGAACGCGAGTGGATGTGAGGAAGGGGTTGCGTGAGAGGGCGCGAGCGTGGGGAGGGGTTCCGGGCGCGGGGGTCCCCTCTGTGGTGGCGGCGGGACGCCCGAGGAACTACAACTCCCAGCAGCCTCCGCGCGGCGGCACTTCCGGCGGAGCCAGAGCGGCGGCGAGCGGTGAGCGCGGGGTCTCGGGGGGTCCGGGGGGTTTTGGGGGGTTTTGGGGGGTCCGGGGGGATTTTGGGGGGGGGTTTGCGGGGTTCAGGGGGAGAACAGGAGAGGGAGGAGGTAGGGAAGGGGGGCGGGAAGAGATGGGGGCGTGGGGGGGGAATGGGGCGGGATCTCCCCGGTTTTGGGGTCCCAGCCCCACCGGGATCGCTCCCCTTTGGTGGTCCCGCCCCACAGCACCCCCGCTTTTGGGGTCCCAGGCACAGAGAATCCCCCGGTTTTGGGGTCCCGGCCCACAGCAGCCCCGGTTTTGGGGTCCCAGCCCCGTTGCGGGATGGACACGTCGGAGCCGAGCAGCGCGGCCGAGGATGAGGAGGAGAAGGCTCCAGAAGTTCGGCCTCGCACCCGCTCCAACCCCGAGGGCGCCGAGGACCGAGCCCCGAGCGGCCCGGGCGGCGCGGGCGGCCAGAGAGAGCCCGTGGGCAACCGGGGAGATGCCGTGGGCAACCTCAGGGAGCCCGTGGGCAACCGTGGGGAGGCCGTGGGCAACCAGAGAGAGCCCGTGGGCAACCGAGGAGATGCCGTGGGCAACCAGCGAGAGCCCGTGGGCAACCGGGGAGATGCCGTGGGCAACCGTGGGGAGGCCGTGGGCAACCAGCGAGAGGCCGTGGGCAGCCGCAGCGAGGGCGAGGGCGAGGCGGCCAGCGCTGGCCACAGCCCCCCGGGCCCGGCCCAGCCTGGCACGGCCTGGCACGGCCCGGGCGAGGTAACCGTGAGAACACCCCGGGTGAACTGCCCCGAGAAACTGGTGAGGGACTGGCGGGACTGGGAGGGACTGGGGGGGGATTGGGAGGGGACTGAGGGGACTGGGGGGACTGGTGGGGGGATTGGGAGGGGACTGGGGGGACTGGGAGGCACTGGTGGGGGGATTGGGAGGGGCCTGGAGGGCATTGGGATGGACTGGGAGGGGACTGGGAGGCACTGGGAGGGGACTAGGGGACACTGAGATGGACTGGGAGGGGATTGAGAGGGATTGGGAGGGACTGGGAGGGGAATTTGGGGCACTGGGAGGGGACTGGGAGGGGAATTTGGGCGACTGGGGGATACTGGGGGCTCTTGGGGGGATACTGGGGGATTCTCCGGGAGGTCCAGGAGGGGCCCTGGGGACACTTTGGGGTCCCCGGGGACACTTTGGGGTCTCAGCCGTGCCCCCCCAGATCATCTGCCTGGACCTGGCCGAGGAGATGGCGCTGCCCAAACTGGAGTCCTTCAACGGGTCAGGGATGGGGACAGGGATGGGGACAAGGGCATGGGGACGTGGGGATGGTGACATGGGGACTGGGACAGAGAACATCGGGACATGGATGGGGACAGGGACAGGGATGGGGACATGGGGATGGTGACAGGGACAGGGATGGGGACATGGGGATGGTGACAGGGACAGGGGACATGAAACAGGGACATGGGATGGGGACAGGGACATGGGACAATGATGGGGATGGGGACAGAGGACATGGGGACATGGGGCTGCGGATGGGGGGGCTGGATTTGGGGCCCTGAGCCCCAGCGTTGATCTGTCCCCGTCCCCATCCCTGTCCCTGCTGTTTTTGGGCATCCCTGAGCTGGTGCCTGTTGGTGCTAGCTGTGCTTTTTGGGATTTTTTGGACTGTATTTGGGGTGCTGGGTGTGTTTTTGGGGTACCAGCTGTGTTTGTATTTGGGGTGCCCCTGCAGGACCCGCAGCAACGCGCTGACGGTGGCACAGAAGATGATCGAGATGTTCGTCAGGACCAAACACAAAATCGACAAAAGCCACGAGTTCGCCCTGGTGGTGGTGAACAACGACAGCACCTGGGTGGGGACAGGGGGACAGGGACACGGGGACAGGAGGGGACAGGGGTGGGGATGGCACTGGGACAGCGGTGGGGACGAGGAGGGACACAGGGGTGGGGACAGGGACACGGTGGGACACAGGCGGGACAGGGGTGGGGACAAAGAGGGACACAGGGGACAGGTGGGGACACGGGGGTGGGCACAGGGACAGGGTGGGACACGGTGGGGACGGGGACGGGGCCGGTGCCAGCGCGGTGTCCCCGCAGCTCTCGGGGTTCACGTCAGACCCGCGCGAGGTTTGCAGCTGCCTCTACGACCTGGACACCGTCGTGTGCCAGTCCTTCAGTATCCACCGTGCCACCCTGGGGGCACTGGGGGCATCGGGGTGTCCTGGGGTTCCTTGGGTGCCACCGGGGTGTCCTGGGTGCCAGGGTGGCCCTGGGAGTGGCACAGGGGTGTCACAGGTGCCAGGGTGGCACAGGATGGCCCTGGGGGTGGCCCTGGGCGTGTCCTGGGTGCCAGGGTGGCCCTGGGAGTGGCACAGGGGTGTCCTGAGTGCCAGGGTGGCCCTGGGGTGGCCCAGGGGTGTCACGGGTGCCAGGACCAGCCTTGACCCTCCGCTCAGATCTGGACGGGCTCTTCAACCTCATGTGAGCACCGGGGGGCTCCAGAATGTCCCGGGGGTGGCAGGGGGGGCTGGAGGGTGCCAGGGGAGGGTGGCACCTGAGCCCTGTCCCCGTGGGTGCCACCCCAACCCTGTCCCTGACCCGGTGCCCCCTGACCCGGTGCCCGGTGCCCGGCAGCCAGCAGAAGGTGGAGCTGCCGGTGACCGAGAGCGTCCCGACCATCCCCCCGCCCTTCGTGCTCAGAACCATCCTGGTGCTGGGGCGCTGCCAGCCCCCCTTCGGCGGGGCTGAGCAGGCCAAGGTGGGCACCCCAAAATGCCCCTGCCACCCTCAATCCCCTGCGCCACCCCAAAATTCCTCGTTTCCACCCCAAAATCTCCCATTTCCACCCCAAAATTCTTCCTTTCCACTCCAAAATCCCCCATTTCCACCCCCAATCTCTTTTGCTCCCCATTTCTCCCCATTCCCCATTTTTCCTCCCAAATCTCCTCTTTCTCTGCCCCGTTTCCCCCGCAATCCCCCAAATCTTCAAATGTCACCCCAAATCCCCCCCAATTTCCCCTTTTTTACCCCCAGAAGCTGCTGCAGTGCCCTTATTTCTTCTTTGACGTGGTTTACATCCACAATGGGCTGGACGAGAAGGAGGACGAGAGCAGCTGGAAGGTGAAAGGGGACAAATCCCCAAAAATCCCCCCAATTTCCCCCAATTTCTCCAATTTCTCTCTTTCCCCCCCCAATCCTCCCTTATTCCCCCATTTCCCCCCCAAGTTCCCCCATTTTCCCCTTCATTTCTCCCCATTTTTCGTTTTTTTTTTAATTTTCTTTTTCCTCCAAATCCCCCCTTTTGTGGGGATGGGGGGGGGGGTTGGAGGGGGCTTGTGGGGAAAAAAAGAGAAATTGGGGGAAAAAGGGGGGATTTGAGGGGGGAAATGGGCTAAAAAAAGGGGGAAATGGGAAGTGAGGAGGGAAAAGGGAGGATTTGGGGGGGGATTGGGGGGGATTTAGGAGGGCAGAGGGGGGTGGGGGATCAGCACCAACGGGGTGACAAAAGGACGGAATTTTGGGGGGAAACTTTTGGGCAAAAGGAGGGGACAAAAGGGAGGGGACAAAGGGAGGGAACAGAAGGAGGGGGACAGAAGGAGGGGATTTCTCAGGATTTGGGGTCAGAATGACCCTGATGTGACCTCGCCGTGTCCCCTCCCAGGACATGTTCGGGTTTCTGGGCAGCCTGGACACCAAAGGCACCAGTTACAAGTTCGAGGTGGCGCTGGCGGGGCCGGCGCTGGAGCTGCACAACTGCATGGCCAAGCTGCTGGCGCATCCCCTGCAGCGGCCCTGCCAGAGCCACGCGCGCTACGGGCTGCTGGACGGGGACAGCGGGGACGGCGAGGCCACCCCCTGAGGGACGGCCAGGGAGGGGACACAGGCCCAGGGGACATCGCTGGAGGGGACACTGGCCAGGGGGATGCCCCAGCTGGCGCCCAGAACGGCGGCATCGCCGCGCAAAGAGAATCGTCCCCGTTTGTGGCAGCGTCCTTGTGGTTTTTTTGGGGTGGGTGACGGGGTTGGGGTCACCTCTGGTGCCACTGTCACCTCTGCTGGCCTGTGCCACCTCTGCTGGCCTGTGCCACCTCTGCTGGCCCCATGTCACCTCTGCTGGCCCTGTGTCCCCTCTGTGCCCCATGTCCCCTCTAATGGCCCCGTGTCCCCTCTGTGCCCCGTGTCCCCTCTGTGCCCCGTGTCCCCTCTGTGCCCCGTGTTGTCCCCTCTGTGCCCCGTGTCCCCTCTAATGGCCCCGTGTCCCCTCTGTGCCCCGTGTCCCCTCCATGCCCCGTGTCCCCTCTGTGCCCCGTGTCCTCTCTAATGGCCCCGTGTCCCCTCCGTGCCCCGTGTCCCCTCCGTGCCCCGTGTCCCCTCTAATGGCCCCGTGTCCCCTCCGTGCCCCGTGTCCTCTCTGTGCCCCGTGTCCCCTCTGTGCCCCGTGTCCCCTCTAATGGCCCCGTGTCCCCTCCGTGCCCCGCGGGGACCGAGGTGCGGTTGGTGGCACTGGGCACTTCCCGGCTTTGGCCACCGGGGGGCGCTGCGTGTCTTGGCCACGCGTATGACGTCATCAACAGGGATGGGCGTCACCCCATTCCCAAATCCCAGATCCCCATTCCCAAATCCCCATTCCCAAATCCTCCATCCCTGCTCCCAGCTCCTCCTTCCCAAATCCCAAATCCCCATTCCCGGGCACCCCAAGGCGACACCAAACACCCCAAGGTGACACCAGGCGCCCCAAGGTGTGGCGTTTTTTGGGAATATTCCGATTTTCCCCAATAAACTCTCCACTTTCCCGGGAATTTTTGGGATCCGGCCCCGGCCCCGGCGCGCTCCCGGTACGGACCCGGCCAGGACTGGGACCAGCACGGCTTTACTGGTGCCGTGGCACGGACACAGCGCTGGTGGCACCGCGACAGCAATGCGCCTCCCGCAGGGGACAGATGTGACATTTTTTGGGGGCGGTGGTGGCAGTTTTGGGGTGCCGGAGAGGGGTAAGATTCTCATTGTGAGACACAGGGGACAGCCCGGGGACATCAGTGGGGACATTGCGGGGGCCCCTGTGCCACCCGGGGCGGTGCCAGCCCCGCGTGGGGAGGGGACACGGTGGGGAGAAGGGACAGGGCGAGGTGTCCGTGGGGTCGGCGCCTTCTTTGGTTTAAATGTCGGGAATTTTGGGGAGTCGGGGACAAAGCGCGGGGAGGGGGTGGGGGGGTGACAGGGGGCACCTCCTGGCACCGCGGGTGGCACCGGAGACATCCTCGGGTGGCTCCTGCAGTCGTGCCCGGCTCCCGGGAATCGGCGGGATCCGGGCGGGAATTACCGGGAATCACCACCGGGAGCCGCGGGAAAGGTCCGGGGGTGGCCCCAAGGGGCTCTGACGACCCTAAAAGCGACGGTGGCGACCCTAAAAGCGATGGTGGCAGCGGGGACACGCGGGATGGCGCCGTGCCATCATCCCGGGAATCTTCATATTCCTCATCCTCCTCCGCATCCCAGCAGGAGCTGCCGATCCCCACAACGATCCCCCAAAATCCGGGCAAATCCCAGCGCGGAGGAGCCTCTGGATTCTCCCGAAAAGCGCCCCAAAAATCCCTGCGGGGACCTCTCGGCTCCTCCCGGTGTCGCCGCCTCCTCTCGGTGTCCCCGGGGCTGTCGCCGCGTGCGGGAGTGACAACGACAACGACAAAAATCCGGGACGGAGCCGCTCCAGCGCCAGGGGTGGGGACCGGGGGTGGCGTGTCCGGGTGTGCCGTGTCCGGGGCTGGGGACCGGCCGTGCCGTGTCCCCGCTGTCCCTGTGGGTTGGGGACAGGCTGTGACATGTCCAGGGACCAAGTGTGGCATGTCCGGAGTTGGGGACCGGCCGTGCCGTGTCCCCGCTGTCCCCCTGGGGTTGGGGACTCGCCGCGCTCCGTGTCCCGGCGCTGCCGTCCAGCCGGGGGGAGCCTCCTCGCTCGGCCCCGGGACGCGAACCGGAGCCCGCCTCTCCCGCGGGAGCTGCCGCTGTCCCGGTGTCGCCGGGCCTCATTTGGTGTCGCCGCGGGCCGCGGGCGTGTCGGGCTCCCAGAGCACGAACTCGTGCAGCAGCGTGTTCACCGTGTCCGGGCACTCCAGCATCACCATGTGGCTGCCCTCGTCGATCACCTTCAGGAAGGCGATCAGCAGGATCTGCGGGTGCCCAGCGACACGGTGAGACCCCCCCGAGGTGGCATGAGTCCCCCCGAAAGCCACGCTGTCCCCTCCTGGCGAGCGGCAGCGCCGGGGTGAGCCCCATCCCTCCAAAGGCACTCTGTGCCCCGCCAGGGACAGTGGGAGCTGTCCCTGCCCTGCCAAGGTGTCCCTGCCTGTCCCAAGGTGTCACTGCCCTGCCAAGGTGTCCCTGCCCGTGTCCCATGTCCCATTCCCATGTCCCTGCCCATGTCCCATGTCCCATTCCCATGTCCCTGCCCGTGCCAAGGTGTCCCTGCCCATGTCCCTGTGCCATCCCTGGAACTGGAACTGTCCCTTGTAGCACCCTGGCACAGTGGAAATTGTCCCATTTCCATGTCAAAGTGTCCCATTTCCCACATCCCTGCCCATGCCAAGGTGTCCCTGCCCATGTTCCATGTCCCATGTCCCATGTCCCATATCCCTGCCCATGCCAAGGTGTCCCTGCCCATGTCCCATGTCCCATTCCCATGTCCCTGCCCGTGCCAAGCTGCCCCCACCCCTGTGCCACCCCTGGCACTGCCCCTCCGACCACCAGCGGATTTCCCACCACCCCAACCAACCACAGCCACCCCAAATTTCGGGGGGCAGAGCCCCCAAACCCTTCCCAGGGCGGGCCTGGGTGGCACCCCCGTACCTCGGCCATCCTCTGGTCCTCCTCGATGGGCACGAACTTGTCGTGCATGCCGTGCACCAGCAGCACGGGCACGGCCAGCTCGGCGTGGTACAGCTCGTCGCCCTCGGGCCAGTACTGGCCGCTCATGGTGGCGCGCAGCACGAAGGACGAGACGTTGAAGGCGTTGCCCTCCTTCAGCAGCTGCTTCTCCTTGGCACCTTGCCGGGCAAAGCCGGCCCTGGCACGGGGGGACAGGGGTCAGCCCCAAATTCGGGGGGTGGCAGTGAGGGCGAGCCCCACAGAGGTCACGCTTTGTCACCTCCCGCGGGGTGGCAGTGCCAGGGTGACCCGTAGGTGGCACAGGAACACCCCTGGGTGGCACAGGGACACCCCTGGATGACACAGGACACCCCTGGGTGGCACAGGGACACTCCTGGGTGGCACAGGAACACCCCTGGGTGGCAGAGGACACCCCTGGGTGGCACAGGGACACCCCTGGGTGGCACAGGGATACCCCTGGGTGGCACAGGGATACCCCTGGGTGGCACAGGGACACTTCTGGGTGGCACAGGGCACCCCTGGGTGGCACAGGGACACCCGTGGGTGGCACAGTCACTCACTTGAGGAAGCTCCAGGCCAGGCAGGGGGACAGGCAGTGCAGCACGCACGGGGGCAGGTTGAAGATGGAGCACAGGCTGGGCTCCAGCGCCGTGGGGCCGCCCCCGTTGATCATGATCACCTTGTGCACCAGCTCCGGGTACTCGTGCGCCAGGAAGGTGCAGAAGGACACCCTGAAAGGGTTAAAAATAACCATAAAGTTGTTATTTTAATTATATAATTATTACCCATATTAATTATGTTAATTATACCAGTTGATTGTGATCACTTTGTGCACCAGCTCCAGGTACTCGTGCGCCCAGAAGGTGCAGAAGGACACCCTGAAAGGGTTAAAAATAACCATGGGCTTGCTGGCTTTTGTTATTTTAATTATATAATCATTAATTATATTGGTTTTGTTGATCATGTTGAGTACATAAATTATATTGATTACATTGATTATTGCCACAACTCCACAGATTATATTTATTATATTTATTATATTTATTACATTTATTATATTTATTATATTAATTATATATTTACATGAATTATCTAGATTATATTAGTTATATTGATTATATTGATTATACTGGTTATATTGATTATATAGGTTATATTTATTATATTCATTATGTAATTATATTTATTGTATTGATTATATTGGTTTATTGGTTATATTGGTTATATTGGTTATATTAATTATATTAATTATATAATTATATCAATTATTAGATTATATTGATTACATTGATTATATATATTATATTAATTATGTTAATTATACTAATTATGCTAATTATGTTGATTATGTAGCCCTACCTGGTGCCCTCCAGCCTTGTCCCAGGCTGGCCCCGCTGGCTCCGGCTCCTTCCCCGTTTCCGTCCTCGCCTGAGGCGGATCCCTAATCCCAGCTTGTCCCATTTATAGTCCTGCCCTTCTCCTTCCCTTCCCTGGGATTAGCGGGACAGAGCTGGGGCAGCCCAAGGGAGCACGGGGTGGGAACGGGCTGGGAACGGGATAAACGGGGCAAAAATGGGCTGGGAACGGAATAAACGGGGCAAAAACAGGAAAGAAACAAGATAAACAGGGCAAAAATGAGATAGAAATGGGATAAAAATGGGATAGAAATGGGATAGAAATGGGATAAATGGGACAACGAGGGGATAAATGGGATAAAAATGGGATAAATGGGATAAAAACAGGACAAAAATGGGATAAAAAGAATGGGAACCCCAAACTCCTAACATGCAGGATTTATGGCCATTCCCACTTTACGGGATGATCCCACCCTATTCCCAGCCCCTCACCCGTAGGAGTGCCTGATCAGAATGTTCCTTTCCTTGGGAAACACTTGAACAGAACCCAAGGATTCTGGAGCTCCAAATCCCGGGATAAATGAGAAAAATTCCCCAAAGCAGGAACCCCACGCGCCTAAGCCATGGGATTTGCGTCCATTCCCGGTTTCCAGGGTGACCCCAGCCCCTCACCCGTAGGAGTGCCCGATGAGGATGTTCCTTTTCTTGGCGTAGCGCTTGAACACGACCCTCATGTCCTCGGCCAGCGCGTAGAAGGTGTAAGCGGCGGCCACGGGCGGCGCCGAGCTGCCGCCGTGCCCCGCCAAATCCGGTGCCACCACCTCGTAGCCCAGCTTGGAGAAGAATTCCAGCTGCTCCTTCCAGATGTCCAAGGAGCCGCCGACGCCATGGATGAAGAAGAGCACCACGTCGCTGTGCGTGCCCTTGCAGCTGGTGATGCGCTTCTTGCAGTCCACCGTCACCACCCTCTTGGGCTTGCGCTTGCGGCGCTTGGCCGCGGTGGCCGTGGTGGCCATGCCGTCCTTGGTGACTGTGCCATCCTTGGTGGCCGCGCCGTCCTTGGTGGCTGTGCTGTCCTTGGTGGCCGCGGTGGCTGTGCCGTCCTTGGTGGCCACGCCATCCTTGGTGGCTGTGCCATCCTTGGTGGTTGTGCCGTCCTTGGTGGCCGTGCCATCCTTGGTGGCCTCTGGCGCTCCCGACTCGCCGTCGGGCTCGGGCCGCGGTCGCCGCGGGCTCCCGGGGCCGGTGGCCTCGGGCAGGTTCTCGATCAGCAGCTGCCCGTTGCGGTAGAGCGTGATGCGGCGCTGGCAGCGCAGCGCCGGCCGCTCCGGCGATCCGGCGGGCCCCGGGGATGCCGGCGGGTCGCGGCGCTCGGGAACGCCGTGGCGGATGCGCAGCACGCGGCCGGGTTTCACCTCCAGGAAGGTGAAGCCGTCGCAGGACTCAACGCTGTCCAGCGGCCCCACGGCGTTGGGCGTCTTGCCCAGCAGGCAGCAGAGGAAGCCGTCGGTCAGGCTGGTCAGCATGGTGACGCCTGGGGAATGGGAAAAGGGTGAAAATGGGGGAAATCGGGGAAAATGGGGGAAATGGGGGAAATGGGGGGAAAATTGAGGGAAATAGGGAAAAATGGGGAGGAAAATGGGGAGGAAAATGGGGGGAAATGGGGAGGAAAATTGGGGAAATGGGAAAAAATGGGGAACATTGGAGGGGAAATGTCAGACAATGGGGGGAAATAGGGAAAAGTGGGGGAAATGAGGAAAAATGAGAGGAAAATGGGTGAAATGGGTGAAATTGGGGGGGAGTGGAGGGAAAATGGGGGAAATGTGGGACAATGGGGGAAAATGGGTAAAATGGGAGGAAATGGGGAAAATGGGGGAAAATGGGGAACATAGGAGGGAAAAACATGGGACAATGGGGGAAAATGGGAAAAAATGGGGGGGAAATAGGGGGAAATGGGATTCAGCCCCAATTCCAGCAGTGGGTTTTGGCAATGGGAACCTGTCAGTGATGTTGGTCAGCATGGTGATCCCTGGAAAAATGGGGGAAATGTGGGAAAATATGGAAAAACATGGAAACATGGAAAATTCCCTGCTCTTTTCTGGGTCACATCCCTGTCCCCTCAAGTTCCCATCACAGCCTTTGGAAAAGGGATTTGTTCCGGCTGAAGGAAAAACCCAGAAAAAAAAGCCTGTTTGGTACAGAAAATTCCCATTTTCCCAAGAAATGTGGAGCATAGGGATGCTCCAGCCACGGGAATTCATTATTTATCCCATGAAAGATAAATATTTATCCCATTAAATAGAAATATTTATCCCACAAAATTGAAATATTTATCTCATTAAATATGAATAAGGCTGCGGTTGGAAGCAGCATCCAAAGTGGGAATTAAAATTTAATTAAAATCCCTCAAAATAAACTAAAGAATGATAATCCCATCCTGGAGGTGGGATTATGCCAGCTGTTCCCAAAGCTCGCTCCTGGAATTTAGATATTTGGATTCTGGGAATATTCAGGGAAAAAGCTGGTGGGAATGGGGGCATGGAGGTCGGGAACGGGTTAATTATGGCTGAGGGAAAAGGAACACGGTGAATTATTGATGGCAGCGGGAAGAGAGAGCAGGATCCGAGCGCTGATCCCACGGGATCCCATTCCTGCGGGATCCTGATCCCAGTTCACATTCCTGCACAATCCCATTTCCATTCCTGCAGGATCCCATTCCCAGATCCCCGGATCCCTGGGTTCCCAGATCTCCATATCCCCAGATCCCCGGATCCCTGGATTCCTGGATCCCTGGATCCCCAGATCCCTGGATCCCCGGGTTCCTGGGTCCCTGGATCCCAGATCTCCCACCTCCCCCGCGCTCCGTGACGGGGAGCAGCCAGGGGGGAAAGGCAGGAGAAGGATCCCGGTGGATGCGGGAAGGTGGGAATGGCGCTGGTTGCCATGGAAATGGGATTATCCCAACCCCCCCTCCAGCCTCAGCCCGGCTCCTTCCCTGCCCAAGGGATACCGGGATTCGGGAATCCGAGAATCTGGGAATCCGGGAATTTGGGAATTCAGGATTTATGGAATCTGTGAATCTGGCAATTTGGGAATCTGGGATTTCAGGAACCTGGGAATCTGGGAATCCGGGAATTTGGGAATCTGGGAATCCAGGATTTGGGAATCTGGGATTTCAGGAACCTGGGAATCTGGGAATCCATGAATCTGGAAATCCAGGATTTGAGAATCTGGGAATCTGACAATTTGGGAATCTGGGAATCCAGGATTCGGGAATCTGGGATTTCAGGAACCTGGGAATCTGGGAATCCAAGAATCTGGGAATCTGGGAATTTGAGAATTCGGGAATTCAGGAATTCGAGAATTTGGAAATTCTGGATTTTGGGAATGTGGTGACTGTTGTGTAAGGCTGGGAATGGCAACAAGGCGGAAATGGCGGGATCTGGCTGAGGGATCCTGCTGTGATCCGGGATCTGCCAGTGGGATCGTGTGCTGGGATCCTGCCAGCGGGGTGGCACAGGGGACACGGGAATGGCACTGGGGACTTGGACCTGGGTTTGGGATCGGGGTTTGGAATTGGGGTTTGGAATAGGGGTTTGGAGTCAGGGTCTGGGAGTGGGGTCTGGGATCGGGGTCTGGGAGCAGGTCTAGGATCAGGCACTGGAAGCAGCCCAGCCTCTCCCCCACCACGGGCAGGTTTTCCCAAAATTCCAGCGGAAATTCCAGCGGCTCACACCTCCCCCAGCAATCCTTCCCCACCGTTGCATCATGAGGGAAGGAAAAGGAAGGAAAAAAGGAAGAGGAAGGAAAAGGAAGGAAGGGAAGGAAGGGAAGGAAATAAATGAGCTTTTCCCCAAGTTGTGTTTCCAGGATATGTCCCCCTTTTCCCCTCCCCGCACCTGCAGAAATCCGGGTTTTTCCCGGCTCCCGCTCCTCTCTGCCCCAAAGCACCCCAACCCCCGTCGCATCCCAGATTTGTTTCTCCTCCCGATGGGAAGAATTCCCGCATTTTTGGGGCATCGCCTCCCGCAGCAGCACCTTTGGCGTCAGGACATTCCCGCAGCACCGCAGAGGGGAAAGCGCCGCTCACCTCATTGACGGCCGAGGAAAAAACCCTGGAATAGCGCAGAATTCCCGGTGGGAAGGCTGGAATAGCGCAGAATTCCCGGTGGGAAGGCTGGAATAGCGCAGAATTCCCGGTGGAGAGGCGATGCCGGGGCGGTGCGAGCAGGGCGGTTCAAATCCCGGGTTTTTTTTCCAGGCGTTTTTTTGGGTTTTTTTTTGGGGGGGAAGGGGGGGATGGGGGGATGGAACTCCTTCAGCCCCCCCGGAAAATTCCCAAAAATCCCAGAAATGCCCCGCAGCGGCGGCCGGGGCCGCTCCGGGGGCGCTCGGGGCTCGTCCTTGGAGCGGTCGCCATGGAAAAGGCAAAGCCCTCCTGAGGGGCGGGACCGCGGTGATGGACACGGGCGGGGAAACTGAGGCACGGGGGGACAGGCGGGGACAGGAGGGGACGGGGATGGGGACAGGAGGGGACAGGGATGGGGACAGGAACGGGGACAGGGATGGGACAGGGACGGGGACAGGGGCTGATGGACACGGGCGGGGGCCACTGAGAGCCAGTGGGAACAGGGATGGGGACAGGGGTAAGGGAAAGGGACAGGGACAGGAGGGGACAGAGGTGGCCTTTGGGACGGGATGGTGACACTGCGGTGCTTGTGGGGTGGCAAAGGGCGCGAGCGTGGCAGTGCCAGGGGCAGTGCCACGAGGGTGGCAGTGTCACCAACCTGTCACACCCGTGGCAGTGCCAGGAGGCCAAACACCAAACCAGGGCTGAATTTTGGGGTTTTTATTCCCCAGATTTTGGGGTTGGGAAGGGTTAAGCCACATCCCGTCATTCCTGCTGGGACACAAAAACCAGAAGGGAAAAATCCAGGACCTGCTGCTGCTCTTGGGATGGGGCTGGGACTGATCCCGAAAAGGAAAATCCTGGAATTCGCTGGGTTGGAAGGACCTGAAATCCCATCCGGTTCCATCTTGGTCCTGCCACCTTTCCAGACTGCTCCAGCCTTTCCTTGGACATTCCAAGGATGGAGCAGCCAGAGCTGCTCTGGGAATTGCATCCCAGGCAGGAATCCCTTCCCAAAATCCCAAAATCCCACCCAGCTCTCCCTTTTCCCATCCCAAATCCATTCCCTGTGTCCTGTCCCTCCATGCCTTGACCCCAGTCCCTCTGCAGCTCTCCTGGAGCCCCTTTCAGGTCCTGGGAGTGGCTTTGTCGCCTGTCGCGACATGCCCCGAGGCGACAAGGCCACAATAGCGCCGTTGCCATGGCAACTCTCCGGGGAACTACACCCCCCGCCAGCCCTTGCGGCGCAGCGCCAGCTGTGATTGGCTGGGAGGACGGAGCCAATGGGAAGCGGCGTTGTTGGTGAACGGGACAACATGGCGGCGCTGCGCCCGGTGAGCCGCAGGTACCGGGAGGGGAAATCCCGACCTTAAAATTCCAAATTAATCCTTTATTCCTTCTCCTTACACCTTGTTCTGCTTTCATTCCCCCCAAGCTTCTCTCTGCTGCGTGGTTTTCCCTTCCCGCCGCTGCCGAACGCTCTGGAGCCGCTTACCGGGAGCTCCAGCGCCGCCGTTCTCCGCCGCCTCCCGGTGCTGCCATGGGGTTTCCAACAAAGCCGGGGGAAATCCCGGGGGAACGAGTACCAGCCCAACAACTGGAAGAGAAAGAAGACTCACGGCTGGATCAAACGGATCAGAACTGCGGGCGGGATCGCCGTGATCCTGCGGCGGATGCTGAAGGGGAGGAAATCCCTGAGCCACTGAGGCAGCGCCGGGAATTCTCCTCCGGGAATCCTCCAGGAATTCGGGATGGTCCCGCCGGGCCCTGCAGGGGGAGCCCAGCCCTGCTCTCAGTGTCATCTGCGTCTCTCTGAGACAGTTGTTCAATTATCCTGGCGTGTTTATTCCAAGTTTTTACGTTTTGTTGGTTTATAAACCGTGGAGATGCGGAGCGGGTTGAAATCTCAGCGTGTCGCCTGGAACTTCTTGCGTTAATTAGGGTGGTGGATTTAATCAGGGTGGGGAATTTCATGAGGAGTGGGAATCTGGTGCCGATATTTGGGAAGGGTGGGAGCTGCGAAATTAGAGATGGAATTCAGGTTTACTTCACTCTGCCACATCCTCTAGGCTCCTGATTCCAGCATCACCTCTGGGATGGGATAAAGGGAAGGAATTCTCCTTCTCCCTGCGCGCGCCGCTTAATGAGCTGTCGTTAATTAATTAATGAGAGGACTCGCCGCCCAAACTACAATTCCCAGCGTGCGCCGCGCCGCGCTCCATCCGGGTCCTTCCGCGCGGGCACTTCCCGCCCCAACCCGAGCTTCCTGTTGCTGATTGACAGGCGGCGCTCCCAATAGCAGCGCAGGGTTGCGCGGCACGGACCAATCGGTGAGAGCGAAGCGGGCGGGCATGGCGGTGGGCGGGGCGGGGCGGCCGCTCCCGGCTGGCGGCGGAGAAGATGGTACGTGAGGGCCCCGCCGCCATGGCGGCCCCGCGCCCGCTCCGCCGCCCTCCCGGTACCGCCGCGGCCGCGCCGAGGCCGCCTGGGGGGTCTGAGGGGTTTGGGGGTCTGAGGGGTTTGGGGGTCTGAGGCGTGTGAGGCGTTTGGGGGTGTGAGGGTTTGGGGGGCTGAGGGGGATGAGGGGTTTGGGGGTGTGAGAGAGCCCCAGAGCCGGATTTGGGGAGCCCCAGGGGGGTTTGGGGATTTGGGGTGGGCTTGGAGCACCCCAGTGTGGGTGGAGGGCACCCTAAAATGGGGCTGAACCATTTGTTTTGTGTGGGGGTACCCTAAGGTGAGAGGACACCCTACATTTGGGCTGAACCACTTGTTTTGTGGAGGGGGGTTATGGGGGACACCCTAAAATGGGGCTGAACCATTTGTTTTGTGTGGGGGTTTAGGGGTGACAGCCTCGGGATCACCCCGGGAGTTTTCTGTGGGAATGGGAAGTTTGGAGCTGCCCAATTCCCGGGAATTCCCCTCATTCCCTGGGGGGTGCTGGCGCTCCTGAGGGATTTTGGGAAAATTTTGGGAACTGTGCCTCTCCAGGCAGATTTCTTGAAGGGGCTCCCGGTGTACAACAAGAGCAACTTCAGCAGGTTCCATGCGGATTCCGTCTGCAAGGCTTCCGTGAGTGCTCCGGGGCCAATCCCGGAATTCCCAATCCCGGAGTACCTAAATTATGGAATTCCAAATCCCAGAGTCCCCCAGTCCCTGAATTCCAAAATCCTGGGGTTTCTAGTCCCAGTATTCACAGATTCTGGCATTTCCGAAACCCGGAATTCCCCAGTCCTGGAATTCCCTAATTCCAGAGTTCCCCAGTCCTGCAGTTCCCAAATTGTGGCATTCCCAAATCCCAATGTTCCCAATTCCCAGAATTCCTGAATCCCAGTAGTCCCAAATCCTGGCATTCCCCATCCTGGCATTCCCAAATCCCTGATGTTCCCAAATCCTGGAATTCCTGAATCTTTGCATTCCCAAATCCTGGAATTCCTGGATCCTGGCATTCCCCATCCCAGTGTTCCTGAACCCTGGTGTTCCCAAATCCCAATATTCCCGGCATTCCCAGCATTCCCATCCTGAGGCCCTGTCCCGTTGCGTTGCAGAACCGCCGGCCCTCGGTGTACCTGCCCACCAGAGAATTCCCCTCGGAGCAGAGTGAGTATTCCCGGGAAAATCCCCTCTGGATCCGAGAGCCCGGGACCCCAGCTTCCCTCCCTTTATTCCCAGGATTCCCTGTTTAAATTCCCAGTTTTCCCCCTTTTAATTCCCACTTACCCCCTTTAGTAATTCCCAGTTTTCCCCTTAGTAATTCCCAGTTTTTCTTTTAGTAATTTTCATTTTCCCCTTTCTTTATTCCCAGTTTCCCCTTATTTATCCCAAATTTCCCACTTTTTTATTCCAAATTTTCCCTCTTTTTAGTCCCAGGCTTCTCTCTATTTATTCCCAATTTTCTCTCTTTCCCCTTTCTTTATTCCCATTTTTCTGCCTCTTTATCCCCAACTTCCCCCGACAATTCCCAGTTTTTCCACCCTCCTCAACCACTGGAATCCTCCTAAAACTTGGAATTTTTTCCCTGTTTTTCCCGGGAATTTTTCCCAGTAATCGTGACAGAGAAGACGAACATCCTCCTGCGCTACCTCCACCAGCAGTGGGACAAAAAGGTGAAATTCCCGCTTTTCCCGGGAATTAGGGGTGGATTTTCCTGGGATTTTGGGGTGGATTTTCCCAGGAATTTGGGTTTGGTTGGTGCCAGGAGCTGTTCCAGGCGGGAAATCCCCGGGGTGGCTCGGGCCCTGGAAACGAGGGCAAATCGGGATCAGGGGAGGCTGGGGTTGGGAATTCGGGAATGTTGGGATTGGGAATTACGGGCTGTGGGAATGTTGGGAAAGGGAATTAATGGGATATCCGTGCTGGGAGTCTGCCTGTGGAATTGCCCCTGGAATTCCCTGGAATCCACCTGAAATCCCTCAGAATTCCCCCTGAAATTCATGGAAATCCCCCCAAATCCCCCTGAAATCCCCCAAAATCCCCCCGAAATCCCCCCAAACCCCCCGAGCCTCCCGAACTCCCTGGGATTCCCTGGAATTGCAGAATGCGGCCAAGAAGCGGGAGCAGGAGCAGGGGGAGCTGGAGGGGGAGAACTCGGCCCCGCCGCGGAAAATCGCCCGGACCGGCAGCCAGGACATGACCGAGGACACTTAAAATCCCGGGAATCCGGGAATTCCCAAGGCTCTTCCCGCTTTTTTGCGCCTCCCCCCCCCTCTGGGAATTCCCGGGATCCGCCCTATTTATTTGGGATTTGCCTCCTTGCCGCTTTCTGGTTTGTATTTATGGGATTTTTATGGAGAGGGCGGATTTGTTCATCCTTAGGGGCCCTCAGTGCCGGAATTCCCGTTTTTCCTGGGATTCCTGGGTGCTGCTCCCCATTCCCCAAATTCCCTTTTTCCCTGCGATTCCTGGGATTTGCTCCTGAGATCTCCCCAGGAGAGCTCGTTCCCAAAAATCCACTTTTCCTGGGATCACTTGGATCTGACCTTCTGTTATCGCAGAATTCTTAATTCCCAAAAATCCACTTCCTGGGATTTATTCCCTTCTCAAACTTCCCTTTTTCCTGGGATTCCTTGGATCTGCTCCTTGTGGAATTCCAGGATAACTTTTTTAAATTTTTTCCCCCCAAAACTCCACTTTTTCGGGATCTCCTCCGTTCCCAAAAACCCTTTTTCCCCTGAGATTCCCCACATCCCCTCCCTGTAAAATTCCAGGATTTTTTTTTCCCTTCACTTCCCCCTGGAGAAATTCCCAGGAATCCTTTGGATTTTCCCAACCCAACCATGACTTGCGAGGCCTTTCCCGTTTTCCCAGAGAATTCCCAGCCCCTTCCCGGGCTCCCATCATGGCTGGAGCCCATCCCTGGGAATTTGCATCCCGGGATTTTCTGGGGGGGCTGGATCTAGGGATTTTTTTTTTCTCCCCCACCCTGTGGATCCTTAAATCCCCATTTTTCCCTGGGAATTCCCAGGGGAGAGAACCGGAGCGGCTCGGGATCCGTGAGAATCCCGGCAGGAATTGGGGAAATCCCAGTGGGAATTCGGGAGGAGCTGGGCTGGAATTGGGGAATCCCGTCTGGAATTGGGGAATCCCGGCTGGAATTCGGGAGGAGCCGGGGTGCTGGAAGAGTCCTAGTTGGAATTCCGGGAATGCGGAGCCCATTCCCAGCGGAAGCACAGCCGGAGCCTCGACATTCCTGGAAAACCTCGGCCAAGGATGAGATGATCCCAAAATCCGAGCTGCTTTTCCACGGGGTGCCCCTTCCCGTGGGAATCCCACCCCTTCTCCCTCCGGGAATTCCGCTGGGATTTTTCCTGGAGATTCCCAAACCCAATTCCTGGCTCTGACTCTGGGAAGGTTCCTTCCTTTTCCCGGAAAGTCCCGGATCCACCCTCGGAGTTCCAGCCTGGGAAAGGCCAAAATTCCACCAGAAGCTCGGGAGGAGCAGGACGCGGCTCCCGTCGGAATTCCCGGAATTTGGGACTGGAATTCAATCCAGAACTTTGGCTCTGCCTCCGTTTTTCCCAATTTTTTTTTTTTGTTTTTTTTTTTGTTTGGGTTTTTTTTTTTTTTTTTTTTGGTTGGTTGTTTTTTTTAATGGAATTCCTGGAATGCTGTGTCGGGGGGGTGGGGGGTGGGGGAAGGAAAAGCGGAATTCCTGGGATTTTACTTTTGGTGGGATTTCCAGCTGGAAAAAACTCCGGGAGGGGGCGGATTTGAGAAATGTCCGGATGGAATTCCGGGAGAGGAGGGCGGATCCCGGGGTTCCGGAGGTTCGGGAATGTTCATTAAAGAGTTGGCACTTCCTGCTGGAATTCCCGCTGCTTTTCCCCCTGGAAAAGGGGGAATGGGGATTGATCCCAGGAAAAGCGGGAGTGGGGAATTCCGGGGGGAAAGTTGGGATTGGCCAGAGCTCGACGGGATCACCGGAGGGTCCGGAGGCCATTTGGGATTTGGGATCCCTGGATTTGGGGTTCTCATCCATGGATTTCTTTGGGATCCCTGCAGTGAGTCCTGTTCCCATCCTAAATTCCCAATATCCCTGGATTTGGGGTTCTCCCATCCCTGGATTTGGGATCCCCTCCCCCTCCAGCTCATTCCCAGCTTTTCTTGGAATTCCAGGAGCTCTTCCCATCTCACCCTTGATCCCATTCAGGAAATCTCCTGGAAAATTCCTGTAAAACTCCAACCCAGAATTCCCCAAATCCACCAAATCCCGGGATTCTGCTCCCAAACACCCCCAGGGCTTGGAATTCCTGGAATTCCCAGAGGCTGAATTCATCCCGAGCTCAATCCTGAATTTCTTGGGAATCTTCCACCCAAATGTGACCATTCCCAAACCCCGGGAAGCTCCAGGATTTTCCCTTCAAATCCTTCCATTTCCACCCAAAATCCGGGATCACAGAGCTGAGAAAAAACTGGGATTTCCCAAAAATTCCTGCAAAAATCCCGGATATCCATCGGAGTTTTTTTCCAGGAATTTCTTTTCCAACAATTTCACATTTTTATAAACAATAAATTGATGGAATTTCGAGGATTTAATCGGATTTTTCCATTCTTTCCTGGCTCTTGGGAATATTTGGATCCCATTTTCCAGAGGTTGGGAATGCTGCTGTGGATCTTGGGGGCTGATTAGAATATTCAAATATGCAAATGAGATGCAGATGAGCTGTCGAAATAAATTTCTTTTTATTGCGGATTTTACAAAAATAAATTAAAAATAAATAAATTAATCCCCCCTCCCCCCCCCTTTTCCTTCCTTTCCTGGAATTCCCACTCCAAGGAAAAAAATCAAAGGAAAAACCATTCCCGAATTTTTCCCTCCTCCAAAATTCCAGAGATTTTTTTGGGAAAGGGATGAAAAATTCCCCGGATTTGGGGTTTTTCCCTCTGGGAATTCTCTGCTCCGGAGGGAAATAGGATCCAAGCCATTCCCGGGGGTTTTTGGGATGGGCAGAGCGGGAAAATCCCGTGGGATGAGGGAGGGAAGAGGAGCCGGAGCCTCCTGGAATTTTGGGGTCTCGGTTTCCCGGAATTCCCAACGCTCCCAGGGCTCCTTTTCCCGGGATTTGCTCTCCGGGATATTCCAGGGCAAGTGGGGGGGATTTGGATCCTCCTGCATCCACATTCCCAAATCTCCGTCCCAAATTCCCAAATCCCCATCCCCAATCCCAAATCTCCATCCCCAATCCCAGTCTCCATCCCCAATTCCCAATTTCCCTTCCCAAATCTCCATCCCACATTCCCAGATCTCCCTCCCGGATCCCACCGGGATTTTTCCTGCTCCCGAGCCTTTCCCTTGGGAATCCCGGATTTTCCCGCCCTTATTGCTCTGGAAAATGGCTTCGATTTGGGATCCCACTTCCCAAAAAAACCCCCAACCCCCAAATTCCATGGATTCTTTGAAATTCCATGGATTCTTTGAAAGAGGAGAGGGGGGAAAACCACAAAAAAATTCCAACCTGATTTTTGGGAAGGGGGAACAGGAGGAGACTCGGGACCACCCCCCCCCCTTTTCCCATTTTTTTTCCTCTTTTCCCAGATTTTTCCCTTTGGGAATGGATGTCCCCAAGTGCCACCAAGCCGCGAAGCGAAGCAGGGAAAGGAGGGAGCGCATTCCCATTGCCGGGAGCGCATTCCCAGCAGGGATCCCGCTGGAGAAGCCGATCCCGGGAATGCCGAGAATCCCGGGAATGCCGGAATTCCTTCCCGCGGCAGCAGCGAAGCGGCTCCCACCCCCTCCCCCCGTGTCCCCTCCTTGCCCCCCCCTCATTGCGGCAGAATTCCAGGGAATTCGGAGCTGGAGCCGGGAATGGCCCGCTGGGATTTGGGATTTTTCTGGGAGAAGCGGCACCGGCGGCGGGATCGGGGTTGGGATTTAGTGCAAGAAACGCTGCCCATGCACGGAATTCCCGGGAAATGCGCCCCATTCCCGGCTGGAAAACTCCTGGGAAGGATCTCCGGGGTCCGGGATTCGGGATCCAGGCGGGGGGAGCGGGCGGAGCAGGGTTGAGGCACGGCTGAATCGGGCTCGTCCCGGGATCCCGGGAATTCCAGGAGCGGGATGTGGCTCCCGGAGGATCCAAAGGCTGGAGCGCGGCGTCTCTGGGGTGAACCGGGAGTGTGGGAGAGTTTGGGATGCTCCAAAACCCGGGATAACGGCCCCCGGTACCGATGGAAACCGGGATGCTCCCAAAACCCGGGATAACTGCTCCCGGTACCCATGGAAACCGGGATGCTCCAAAACCCGGGATAACGGCCCCTGGTACCCATGGAAACCGGGATGCTCCAAAAACCGGGATAACTCCCTCCGGTGAGCCTGGGAAGTTTCGGGATGCTCCAGCCGTACCGGGATAGCTCACGCCGTGCTCCCGGTACCGGGGTTTCGCCGCCTCGCCACCCTCAGGCCTCCCCCGCTGTCCCCCCGCGGGCCCCGGGGCGGTGGCGGCGGCTCCGAGCGGCGGGGCCGGGGGGACCGGGGGGGACACAGCCCGGGGGACCGGGGGGACACGGGGGGACACAGCACAGAGCACCGGAGCGGAGCGCGGCGCTGGCGGCCACCGGGCCCGGTGCGGCCCCGCGGGCGAGCGGCGGCGAGAGGCTCCCGACGGCCACGGCCGCGCGCAGCAGGGACCGGGCGGCTCCCGGAACCGCCGGAACCACCGGAGCCCCGCTCAGAAGCGGGCACCGCCGCCCTCCTCCTCCTCTTCCTCCCGGTTCACCGGCTCCCCGTGCCCCCGGAGCCCCGGTTAGAACCGGGCACCGCCGCTCTCCTCCTCCTCCTGCCCCCGGTTCACCGGCTCCCCGTGCTCCCGGAGCCCTGCTCAGAACCGGGCACCGCCGCTCTCCTCCTCCTCCTGCCCCCGGTTCACCGGCTCCCCGTGCTCCCGGAGCCCTGCTCAGAACCGGGCACCGCTGCTCTCCTCCTCCTCCTCCTCCCCCCGGTTCACCGGCTCCCTGTGCCCCCGGAGCCCCGGTTAGAACCGGGCACCGCCGCTCTCCTACTCCTCTTCCCCCCGGTTCACCGGCTCCCCCCGGAGCTCCCGGAGCCCCGCTCAGAACCGGGCACCGCCGCTCTCCTCCTCCTCCTCCCGGTTCACCGGCTCCCCGTGTCCCCGGAGCTCCCGGAGCCCCGCTCAGAACCGGGCACCGCCGCTCTCCTCCCCCGCCCGGCTCCTCCCGGTCCCCCGGGACCCCCGGAGCCCCCGGTCAGAGCCGGGCACCGCCGCCCTCCTCCTCCGCCCGGTTCTCCGCATCCTCCCGCGCCCCGTCCTCGCTGAGCTGCGCCTTCCCGGGCGCCGCGTCCGCCGAGGGCCCGGCCCGGGGCTGCGGGGCGGCGCCGCCGTTGCCGCCGGGCCCGTCGGAGCGGCCGAAGCCGAAGAGTTTGCCGGGGTTGAAGGGTTTGGTGGGCGACTGCGCCTTCTCGGGGGCCGCGTCGCGCCGCGCCTCGGGCGGCCGCAGGAACCTGAAGCTCAGGAACGCCGGCAGTTTGTTCTCGCCGCCCGTGGGCGACTGCGGCGAGCGGGCACCGGCACCGGCACCGGCACCGGCAGCGGCACCGGCCCCGGGCAGGAACTTGCCCTGCAGCGGGATGATCTGCTTCAGCTTCAGCACGTTGTTGGTGGCCAGCAGCGAGCTGGGCCGCTTGGGCTTGTCGGGGCCGTGCGCGGAGGAGCCGCCGGAGCTTTTCCCCTTGGCCTGCCAAATGCGGATGAAAAATTAAATTTTATAATTTTAATAAAGATTTTATTAAAATTATTCATTAATATTTATAAATAATAAAATTATTTATTAAAATAAATATTTATTTTTATTTGTTTATTTTAATTATTTATTTTATTATTTATTATTATTAATTATTTATTAAAATAAATACTTTCATTAAAGATTTAATAAAGGCAACGGGTATGTTTATTAGAGTGCTGCGGACACGTGTTGGGACTTGTTGGTTTTTAATGGACATGCGTATCTTTCAGAACTTTTGATTTTTTTTTATTACTTAATTTCTGTATGCATAAAATTTTATAACAGGTTAATGCATATTTATTTTATATTACATATATATTATGTATTACATTATATATTATATATTATAATATATATATTATATATTATATATTTATTTTATATTACACTTATAGTTAGTTATATATAGTTAGTTATATTTGTATATTTATATATATTTGTATATATATATATTTGTATATTTGTAGATTTGTAGATTTATATATAGTTAGTTATATTTGTACTTAGTTTTTGTTGGAAAGTACAAGAAAGAATTCCTGGGTTACTTTGCTCTGTTTTAAGGTTTGAGGAATCTTTTTTATTTCTTATTTTTTAGTGTGGAAATTTGCATTTTTTGTTTAGCTGGGGCAGTTTTGCTAAGGCTGCAGTTACAGCGTATTTAGTAAGTTTAAAGTGGCGCATTTGACTGAAATTTAAAGGGATTTCTGCCCCGTCACATTTCGCTCCGTCTCACCTGGCCCTTGTCGTGCGCCGGGTCCTGCCCGGTGGCCTCGGACTTGGTGGCCTCGTCACGGGTGGGGTCGCGGTCGCGGCGCGCCTGGAGCTCGGCCTGGCGCTGCCGCTCCTCCTCCTCGCGCCGCCGGCGCTGCTGCTGCTGGAAGTGGTGCTGGGCCTGCCGCTCGTGCTTCTGGGGACACACCGGGACATCCAGGGGACAGGGCATGGGGGACAGGGACAGAGAGGGGACAGCGGGTGTGGGACATTGAGGGGACACGGGCACGGGGCAGAGGGACAGAGAGGGGACACCGGGCACGGGGCAGACCTTGAGAACACTTTGGGGACCCTTGGGGACCCTTGGGGAGCCTTGAGGACACTTTTGGGACCCCTGGGGACCCCTGGGGACACTTAGGGGAGCCTTGGGGACGCCGTCCCGGCAGGACCCACCTTGAAGGCCTCGCGGCGCTGGTACTCCAGCTTGGCCATCTCCTCAGCCACCCAGGCGGGGATGTCGGGAATGGCCACCTGGATGACGTACTTGAGGAGCAGGGCGAAGTGCTGGGGACACGGCAGGGGACAGGGGACACGGGGACACACCTCAGCATCCCCGGCATTCCCGAAATCCCGCCCTTCCATCCCGAAACACCATCCTTTCCATCCCAAAATACCATCCTTTCCATCCCGAAACACCATCCTTTCCATCCCAAAATCTGACATTTCCATCCCAAAATCCGACATTTCCATCCCAAAATCCGACATTTCCATCCCAAAATCTGACATTTCCATCTCAAAATCCGGCCTTTCCTTCCCAAAATCTGGCCCAGTGCGGGAACCCTGTGGTAACCCCAACCCTGCTGACCCCAGACCCCGGGGTGACCCCAGGAGACCCCAATCCCCCTGACGCTATTGGGGACCCCAGACTCGGGGGGACCCCAATCCCCCTGACGCTATTGGGGACCCCAAACCCGGGGTGACCCCAGGGGACCCCAATCTCCCTGACCCTATTGGGGACCCCAGAGCCGGGGTGACCCCAGAGGACCCCCGGGGACCCCGGTGCCACCGGGCCGGTACCTCCAGCACCACGACGGAGACGATGGCGCCCTCGGGGCTGAGCCAGGGGCAGAGGCGCCGCAGCTGCCCGCACTGCGCCAGCAGGTAGCAGTTCACCACGATGGCCAGCACGCCCATGGCCTCCATCACTGCCTGCAGGGCGCCCCGCTTTTAATTAATGTGTTAATTGCCGCGGTGCAGCGGTCGTTAATGATTTGTGCGTTTTTTAGAAGGAGGTTTTTGGGGTTTTGTGTTCTGCACCGCGCCAGCAGGCAGCAGCTCACCACGATCGTGCCCATGGCCTCCATCACCACTGCAAGGCACCCGGCTTTTAATTAATGTGTTAATTGGTGCGATGTAGCGGTGGTTAATTATTTATGAGTTTATTGGGATATGTTTTTTGCTTTTTGTTATGTCCCTGCTGTCCCTGCTGTGTCCCTGTGTCCCCATGTCCCCGATGTGTCCCCAGTGTGTCCCCATGTCCCTGCTGTGTCCCCGTGTCCCCACTGTGTCCCCGTGTCCCCGTGTCCCCGTCCCCACCTGCCACTGGCCGATGCTGGCCACGCGCTGGCCGAAGGGTCTCTGCAGGCCGGTGCAGAGCTTGAAGGCGTCGCTGCGGATCTCGAGGACGTTGTTGAGCAGCGCGCAGGCGGCCGCCAGCGGGAAGGCCGAGGAGAAGAGCACCACGTAGCCAAACTGGATGAACATCTCCTGGTAGTCCTGGAAGGTGTCCTGAGGGGACAGCGGTGCCACCGCCGGCGTCAGGAGGGGTTCTGGGGTGGGTCCCGCTGGGACACCTCGGGAAGGGACACTTTGGGAGGCCACCAGCCACGGGGACACTGCACAGTGGCCACCACCCACAGGGACCCCTCAGGGAGCCCATGGGACACCTTGGGGGTCCTGATGGCCATGGGGACACTTTGAGAGGCCACCAGCCCCAGGGACACCTTGGGGGTCCTGATGGCCAGGGGGACACCTCAGGGACCCCACAAGCCCTGGGGACACCTTGGGGGTCCTGATGGCCACGGGGACACCTCAGGGACCCCACCAGCCCTGGGGACACCTTGGGGGTCCTGATGGCCACGGGGACACCTCAGGGACCCCAGGAACACCTTGGGGAACCCGGCAGGTCCAGGGACAAGGGGAGAGAGGTGACAAAAGCCACCCACCTCGTACTTCTTCATGCAGCTCTCCACCTCGGCCTGCGTCAGCTGCGTGGAGTAATCCTCCTCGGGCGGGTCAATCCACGAGGCGCGGTTGCGCTTCCTCCCTTCCTCCTCGCCCTCCTCCTCCTCCCTCCTCCTCCTCCTCGCCAGCACCGCCGGCTCCTCCGCCCTGCCGGGGCTGCCGGGCTGCGCTTCGGCCTCCTCCTCCTCGTCGTCGGCCAGCTCGAAGACGGCGGCGGGGTCCATGCCCTTCTCCACCATGGTGGGGCTGCCCTCCTCCAGGAAGGGCTCGTCCCCGGGCCCGGCGGGCTCGGCGCGCCGCTCGCCGCGCTCGATGAAGCTCACCTTCCTCAGCCTCAGCCCGCAGTCCAGCGCGCCCTCCTCCTCCGCCTCCGAGCCGCGCCGCTCCTCCTCCTCCTCCTCCTCCTCCTCCTCCTCGGGCACGCCGCAGCCGCCGTTCAGACACTTCTTGTGGCCGCGGGGCCCCGGGGGCTGCGGGGGCTGCGGGGGCTGCGGGCCGAGGCGGCGGAGCAGAGCGCGGCAGAGCTGCCGCAGGCTGCGCGCCCCGAGCTGCAGCTGCGGCTGCGACACCTCCCGCACGTTCTGCAGCAGCTGCCGCGTGATCAGCAGCGTGGCCAGCATCTGCGGGGACACGGGGGACACGCTGTCACACTGTCACACCCCCCCCGCTGCTGGGGGATGTCCCCACGGCCCGGCCCCGCGGGGCTCCTGCTCCGCTTGGGCTGTCCCTGCTCCTCCCTGATGTCCCCACGGTGTCCCCTGGCTGTCCCCCGGCTGTCCCCTGGCCATCCCCTGGTGTTCTCCGGCTGTCCCCGGCTGTCCCCTGCTGTCCCCAGGTGTCCCCTGACTGTCCCCAGGTGTCCCCAGCTGTCCCCGGCTGTCCCCAGCTGTCCCCTACTGTCCCCTGACTGTCCCCCGGCTGTCCCCCGGCTGTCCCCTGGCTGTCCCCTGCTGTCCCCACGCTCCTACTTTGGATAGTGCCAGGGTCCAGGAAAGGCGCAGGAGGCGCCTGAGGAAGATGAGGGAGAGGTGGAGGTGGAGGAGGATGGAGGGGAGCAGAGCCTCCCGGAGCTGCCGCGCGAGGCTCTGCGACAGGGACAGGATGAGCAGGAGCTGCGGAAGGGACACAGAGGGACACAGAGGGACACAGAGGGACACCACAGGGACACACAGGGACACAAAGGGACACCACGGGGACACCACGGGGACACAGAGATGTGGCCGTGAGCCGCGCCGGGCGCCTGAGCCGCGCCACGGCGGGGACACGCGTGGGGACACCGGGGGATGCGGTGGTGGTGGTCGTGGAGGGGTGCTGGGGACACTCTGGGGACACCGGCCACCCCGGCAGGGTCCCCTCACCTCCTTGAGGCGCTCCATGTCCTTGAGGTAGAATCCGACGTAGAAAAGGCTCAGGTAGGAGTTGACGAACTGGAACTGGCGGTGACAGGGGGGTGGCAGCTCGGTCACCTCGGTGTCCCCTCTGTGTCCCCTCTGTGACAGCTCCTACCCCATCTGTCACCTCTGCAGCTGCCAAGACCCCTCGGGTCCCCTCTGTCCCTCCTGGACCTTTCTGGTCCCCTCTGTCACTCACCGAGAGCCACTGGGACCCCTCCAGTCCCCCCCCGAGCACCGTGTCCCCCGTGTCCCCAGTGCCCCCCGTGTCCCCAGTCGCCCCAGTCGCCCCAGTCCCCCCAGTGTCCCCCATGTCCCCGTTCCCTAGTACCCCCGTGTCCCCAGTCCCCCGTGTCCCCAGTCCCCCCCAGTCCCCCCAGTCCCCCCAATCCCCCGTGTCCCCGTGTCCCCAGTCCCCCCAGTCCCCCCAGTCCCCCCCAGTCCCCCCAGTGTCCCCGTGTCCCCGTGTCCCCATGTGCCCAGTCCCCCCGTGTCCCCGTGTCCCCGTGTCCCCTCACCAGGACGATTTTGATGATCAGGTGTTTCTCGTAGGCGCTCTGCAGCCGATAATTCTCTGCAGGGCACGGCCGGGGTCAGGGGGGCTCGGGGGGTCCCAGGGCCACCCCAGGGCCACCCCAGGGCCACCCCAGGGTCCCCAGCGCACCCATGTCATTGAGCCACAAGGCCACTTTCTTGTAGAGCTCGTCACAGGCGGCGACAATGACGGCCAGGATGATTTTGGGCAGGAAGCGAAGGACGCGCGGCAGCTCCTGGACGCTGAGCACGAACTCCTGTGGGGACGGGGACGGGGACGGGGACAGGGACAGGGACACAGGGATGGGGATGGAGACAGGAATGGGACAGGGATGGGGACAGGGACAGGGACAGGGACAGGGATGGGGACAGGGACAGGGACAGGGACGGGGACAGGGACGGGGACAGGGACGGGGACACAGGGATGGGGACGGGGATGGGGACAGGGACAGGGACGGGGACAGGGAGACAATCAGGGTCAGGATCAGGAACAGAATCAAGACCAGGAGCAGGGGCAGCGCCACTGTCACCGTCCCCAGTGCCACTGTCACTGTCCCAGCGCCACTGTCACCGCCCCAGCACCACTGTCACTGTCCCAGCCCCACTGTCACTGTCCCAGCACCACTGTCACCGCCCCAGCACCACTGTCACTGCCCCCAGCGCCACTGTCACCGTCCCAGCACCACTGTCACCGCCCCAGCACCACTGTCACTGTCCCAGCACCACTGTCACCGTCCCAGTGCCAGCGCAGGCCCAGGGCCGGGTCCCACCTGGAGCTGGAAGCAGCCGAGCATGAGGAGGAAGACGATGGCGAGGCAGGCCAGGCAGACGGGGACGCTGACCAGGCTCTGGAACAGGAGGCGCTTCCAGGGCGGGTAGTAGAACTCCTCGGCGCTGGTGACGGGGCTGATGCGCCTCGTGCCCTGCGGGACACGGCCCGTGGCACCCCGGGGTGGTGACACCCCCGAGCCCGGGCTGGGGGCGCAGCCCCGAGGGATGGGGTGTGGGAATTCCCCAGGGACGGGGTACCCCAAAGGGACGGGATACCCCGAAAGGGATGGGATACCCCAAAAGGGATGGGATACCCCGAAAGGGATGGGATACCCCGAAAGGGATGGGATACCCCAAAGGGATGGGATACCCAAAAGGGATGGGATACCCCGAAAGGGATGGGATACCCCAAAGGGATGGGATACCCAAAAGGGATGGGATACCCCGAAAGGGATGGGATACCCCAAAGGGATGGGATCATCCAAAAGGAGTGGGATCCCCCAAGGGATGGGACCCCCAAAAGGAGTGGGATCTCCCAAAAGGGACAGAATCCCCCATGGATTGGGACCCCCTCATGGATTGGGATCCCCCCAAGGGCCGGGACCCCCGTGCTGGTGTCTGACCCGGAATTGGGGCCGGGGCTCCTCCAGGGACTCCGCGGGCGTGTCCAGCGTCCCCCACTTGTAGGCGAACTCGGCGCCGCGGCGCTTCCACTCCTCCAGGAAGAGCGTGGCCCAGACCACGTTGAAGATGGCGAAGACCACGCAGGAGATGTCCTGGCTGGTCTGGGGGATGGACAGCGCCGACTGCAGCGGGGTCGGTCCCCTCCCGGCCCCAACAGCCCCCAGATCCAGCCCAGGGGGGTGGGGAGATCCCCCCAGCCCGGAGGGAATGGCTGGGGCGGGATTGAGGGAAAAGCGGGAGGAAAAGGGAGGGGATCCCTCAGGGAAGGAGGGGAACCCCAAGGAGGGATGGAAAACCTCACAAGGAGGGATGGGAACCCCAAGAAGGGATGGGAACCCTCCAGGGAGGTTGGGAGCCCCCCATGACCCCAAAGGCCCCACCTGGTCGCTGTCGGTGAAGGTGTAGAGGATGGAGCCGAACACGGCCGGGTACACCATGGCCGAGGTGTAGAAGCCCAGCCAGGCGAAGTACATGGCGATCTTCACCCCAAAATAGTCACAGATGTCATCTGGGTGGGGCACAGGGGGCATCAGCGGGGCTGGGACCCCAAAATCCCGCTGGGGTCACCCCAAATGGGGCCCCAAAACCCCTGCTGGAGTCATCCCAATGGGATCCCAAAAACCCTGCTGGGATCACCCAAAATGGAACCCCAAAACCCCTTCTGGGGTGACCCAGCTCTCACCGAGGGGCTGCGCCTCGCACACCGCCTGCACCCAGGACTTCATCAGGCGCTTGAGGATCCTCTGCTCGTGCAGCGGGAACAGCTGCTGGATCACCCCCCGCGCCGCCAGCTCCGGGACTGGGGGACACGGGGACACGCGTCAGGGACACGGGGACACGCGTCAGGGACACGGGGACACGGCTCGGGGCCCGCACTGCCGCCCCACACGGCCCCGCTGGGGGGAGTGGGGATGGGGACAGCGGGTACAGTTCTGTGCCCACCATGGGGACAGTGGGGACAGCTCTGTGCCCACCACGATCCTACAAACCCTGCCCCAGGATGGGGACAGGGGGGACAGAGGAGACACAGCCAGCCCCCCCCAGCACCCCACTGCCACCCCGCGTGGCCCTGGGCTGGTGGGGCTGGGACGGGGACAATGGGGACAGTGGCCCGTGGGGGTTCTGTGCCCGCCATGACCCCGCGGTGGCAGTGTCACCAGGTGCCCTGGCAGTGCCACCGTGTTCCCTGGCAGTGTCACCGTGTGCCCTGGCAGTGCCACGCATGCCGCACTCACTGATGGGCTGTCCCTCGAGGAAGTGGATGTTGTGCAGGGACTCGCCCTGCTTGGCCCGCAGGTTCTCCAGCCAGTAGCGGATGATGCTCTGCCGCTCCTGCGGGACGCGCCAGCGTGTCCCGGGTGTGTCCCCACCATGTCCCCACCATGTCCCCAGCCCTGTTGGTGGCTGGATCCTCACCCAACCTCCCCATGTCCCCTATCCCCATAATCCCATATACTCATATCCCATATCCAATATCCCCATAATCCCATATCCCTGTACCCCACACCCCTCACCCCATACCCACACCCCACACCCCATACCCCACACTCCGTACCACACCCCACACCCCGTACCCCTCACCCCGTAGCCCTGCCCACCTGGGAGCTGAAGAAGCCGAGCTCGTTCTCGATGTTCTCGTAGATGTAATCCTCCTCGCAGGAGAAGCCGCGCATGCCGCCCCCGAACTCCGCCTTCACCGGCTTCCGCAGCCCCATCTCGTCCGCCCCGCGCAGCAAACTTCGCATGGAAACCAAACCCACCAAAAACCCCCGTAAGGGATTGTGGGGCCGCTGTGTTTATTATTGCAGTGCCGGACATGTGTGGGGACTCACTGCCCTTCAATGGACGTGTGCGGCCCTGATAACTCCCAATCCTTTTTTATTACCCTTAACTAACAAATTAATTAATAGAATTTCACAATAGGTTCATGCATATTCATTCTGCTGATTTCAACAGCTAGTTACATTTGTACTCAGCTTTTGTCAGAAAGTACAGAAAGAACTCCTGGGTCACTCTGAGCTGTTCCAAGGTCCGAGGAGTCTTTCTTATCTCTTATCTTTTTAGTGTGGAAATCTGCATTCTTTATGCAAATTAGAATTTGCATAATTCTTAGCTGGGGTAGTTTTGCTAATGCTGCAGCTACCAGACTAAACAGCAAATTTCACTGATGGTAGCGAGCTCAAAGCGGCACATTTCACCTACATCCAAATGGATTTCTACCCTGGTAAAGTTTCACTCTGCCTCAACAGCGTTGGGGACATGCTGGGGACATGCTGGGGACAGCACTGGGGACAGCACTGGGGACACGTTAGGGACAGCACTGGGGACCCACTGGGGACAGCATTGGGGACAGCACTGGGGACCCACTGGGGACACGCTGGGGACAGCACGCACCTCTCGTAGGTGGCGGTGACGAAGAAGGCGTAGACGCGCGTGTGGCGGTGGTGCCGCACCTGCACGATCAGCTCGGGGATGCCCAGGCGGATGTGGTTCAGCAGCCACAGCAGCGTGTGGTCATCCGTGCTGTCTGCGGGGACAGCGCCACGCGTGTCCTGCCGCGCGTGTCCCTGTCCCCGGCTCTCCACATGGCCCTGTCCCGGTCCCCAACCCGCAGGTGTCCCTGTCCCGGTCCTCATCCTGTCATGTGTCCCTGTCCCGGTCCCCAGCCCTCCAGGTGTCCCTGTCCCGGTCCCCAACCTGCAGGTGTCCCTGTCCTTGTCCTCACCCATCCCCATGTCCCTCATCCCACTCCCCATCCATCCACACATTCCCCATCCCTTCCCACACCCCCATCCCTCCTTGCATCCCTCATTCCTCCCAACATCCCACATCCCCCTCCATCTCCCAACCCCCATCCCCAATCCCCCATCCCCAATCCCCCATCCCTCATTCCCAATCCCCCATCCCAAATCCGCCATCCCCCATCCCCACCGCCACCTCCCGGGCTCTCCCCACCATCCCCACCCCCTCCTGCCTCAGCTATCCCAGATTTTCCCGGCTACATCCCTCTCCTGGATTCCCCAATCACACCCCAAACCCTGGATCTCCCGGTCCCACCCCTCCCAGTCCCGATCTCCCGGTCCCACCCCATCCCGGTCCCGGTTTCCCGGGCCCGTCCCTACCCGGGAATGTCATGAGCACGTCGCAGTTCTCCGTGGGCACGGTTTTCATCCAGGCCTTGTGGGACATGATGTAGCGCCCGGCCTGGAGCAGCCGCTTCCCGAAGAGTTTATCTGCCGGGGGAGGCCGGGCAGGGATCAGAATCCCCGGGCGGCGGATCCCGAGCGGCCCCGGAGCCCCGCGGGACGCGCCCCGGGCTGTCCCCGGCCGGGCCGCGCCGGGTCACGGCGGTGCCACCGCCCCGGCATCGGATTTCCCCGGCCGTGAATCCCCAAATCGGCACCGACAGCTGCGGGAGGAGCGGCCGGCGCGCCCCGAATGTCGCGGGATGTCCCCTCGGAGCGTCCCCAGAGGCTCCCACCTCCTCCCGCTGCCCCTCGGCGGGGCCGGGCTCGGGGGCACGGAAAGCGGGGACCGGGATGAGCAGCCGGTCTCCATGGAAAACCGGCGGGCCGGGCTCCGGGGGACGGAAAAGCGCAGGAAAAGCGGGGATCGGGAAGAGCAGCCGGTCTCCATGGAAACCCGGCGGGGCCGCGCCGCCGCGCCGGGACGGGGACGGTGCCCGGTGCCCGGTGCGCGGTGCCCGGTGCGCGGTGCCCGGTGCCCAAAGCGCCATCCGGGAGGGTGGGGACAGGGAGGACCCCCAAAAATTCAGCCGGGGCTGGCAGGGACGGAGGTCCCCGATGGCGTGGGGACACCGCCGTTTGTCGCTTCCCTGCCTCAGTGTCCCCTCGTGCCTCAGTGTCCCCTCCTCGGCCGGGGATGTCGCAGCGCCCCAGGGTAGGGAAGGACTCGGGGTGGCGGAAACCGCGGGGAAAACAGGAAATGCCAGAGCTGCTGATGGGGTGGCGGGGTGTGGGGGAAATGGGGTGCCAGGGTCAGGGGCAGTGGGGTGCCAGGCTACCAGGGAGTTGAGGTTTAGCGGTGCCAGGGTATTGGGATGCCAGGGGTATTAAGGTATTGGGTGCCAGGGTGCTGAGGTGTTGGGGTGCAGGTATTTCAGGGCGCGGGTATTAGCATGCCAGTGTTTTAGGGTGCAGGTATTTCAGGGTGCCAATGTTTCAGGGTGCCAATGTTTCAGGGTGCCAGTGTTTTAGGGTGCAGGTATTTTAGGGCACCAATGTTTTAGGGTGCCAATGTTTTAGGGTGCCAGTATTTTAGGGTGCCAGTGTTTAGGGTGCCAGGCCATCGGCACCCTGGTGGGCACGGGGCGCTGGCGGCGGTGGCCGTGCCACCCCGCCGGGCAGCCGGGTGACACCCGGGTGACACCGCCGGGCTGAGCTCACCCGCCCTGCATTATTCATGTCCTGCCCGCGGCGGTGCCACCCGCGACACTGCCACCCGCGTGGGCACTGCCCGCCCCGGGGGCACAGACCCGGGGCCGGGGGGGCTTTCCCTGCCCAAGGTCACGGGGAATGGGGGGTCCCCAGCACCCCCAGGCTGGCCCGGTCTGGAGGTGAAGGCCACCGCCACCCCGCTGTCCCCGCAGCCCCTCCCGACACGCGGTGCTACCACCCAAGCGGCCCCAAGGCTCGGCGGGGCTGGCGCGCCCGGTGCCACCCCCGGGTCCCCCCCGCTTGTCCCCGTTTGTCGCCGGCCGTGCCGCTCACCTTGGCTCCCGGGCTAAGGTCACCGGAGCTGCGGCGTGGCGGGGACCGGCGCTGCCCGGGACCGAGCGGTGTCCCCGGGGGGGGCACGAAGTGGGTCACCCACCCGCGGCGGGAGCCCCGTTCGGTGGCACGGCCGCCACCGGGCCCTGCCACCCCCCCGCACCGCGGGGACCCCGAGCGGGGATGGCACCTGGCCCCGCGCCACGCGGGGGAGGGGACCCCCGCGACAGCGTGGGGACAGCGACACAAAGGCTGCCAGCTGCGCCACCCCCCTGGCGGGCTGGGGGGGCACGGGCCTGGCAAGGGACAAAACCCTCCCGGGGTGGGGCACACCGGGGGCGTGGGGACGTCACCGGTGAGGGGGGGACGCGGAGCCCGCTGCCAGCCCCATCCCGGGGGTCTCGGGGCGGGGGGGGTGACACAAAATCAGCCGCGACCACCCGAGAGACACAGAGCCCCCCATGAAGCGGGACCCCCACCGGCGGGGGGGCTCGGAGCCGTGCCGGTACCGGGGGGATGCTCAGAGCTCCACCGGCAGCACCGACACCCCCCCCCCCCCCCACCCCGGGGCGGTCCCGGGGAGCCGCATCCGCAGCGAGCCGCATCCCGGCCCTCCCCGAGCCCCCTCCCGGTTCTCCCGCAGCCCCCCCACCGCACCCCCGGTTCCCGTACCCAGCACTCCGGTGGGGGCCGCCGGTTCCGCTCGCTCCTCCGCGGCCGGGGCCCGCCGGGGCCGCTCTCCGTCCTGCGCCGCGGTCGGCGGCTCGGGCATGGTGCGGGGCTCGGCGGCGGCGGAGCGGGCCGGTGCATGGGGCCGCCGGGGCCGCCGGGGCCGCCGCTGCCGCCGCCGCTGCCGCCGCCGCTGCCGGTGCGGGCGGGGGGAGGAGGAGGAGGAGGAGGAGGAGGGACAAAGGCGGCGGAGCGGAGCGCGGAGCTCCCGGCGCCTTTAACGCCCCGCTCGGCCACGCGTGTCCGGCCGCGCCCCGCGTGGGGGGGTCCCGGGGGGACCGCGGGGGGCGGCTCCGCCCGGCGGCGGCACCGGAGCGACCCCCGCGGTGTCACCGGCGCGTCCCCCGGTGCGTGTCCCTCCCCGCCGCGCCCCTCGGCCCCGCCGCGCTCCGCCCGTGCCCGGAGTGTCCCCAAGCGCCACCGCCGTGCCCCCGGTGCCCCCTCAGCCACCCCCCCCTGCCCGGGGCGGCGGCTCCCGTAACCCGAGCGGGGTGAGCGCTGCCCGGTGACATTTTGGGTGACCCCCCCCATCCCCCCAAACCCCCCCAAGGCTCGGAGCCTCCCCCGGGACTCGGGCCCGGTGCCAGCCCGGCCGCTCGGTGCCACCGGGGGATGTCCCCGCGGCTGACACGGGCGGCACGGGGGGCACGGGGGGCACGGGGGGACACGGGGGCACCGGGGCCGGTCCTGTCCGTCCCTGCCTGGGCCCCAGTCTGTCCCAGTTTATCCCAGTCTATCCCAGTCTGTCCCTGTCCATCCCTGTCTGTATCCCTACTGGAAGCCAAGCCAAGATTTTGGGAATCAGAATAGAGACAGGCATCAGAATAATTAAAATTATTATTATTATTATTATTATTATTATTATTATTACTATTATTACTATTATTATTATTATTATTATTATTATTATTATTATTATTATTATTATTATTATTATTATTATTATTATTATTATTATTATTAATATTACATAGCCACAAGAAGAAATTAAATATATTGGTTTGATCTACAAGATGGCAAAAAGACAAGTCAAAGGTTAAAACCAAGCAAAAGAACATCGAAATGCAAAGAAATCTTTTAATATAAACTTTTATAAATACGCATGTCCCCCCATAATGGAACAGTCCATAGAGAATGTGCTTTGAGTTAAATAAATATAAAAATATTTTATACATAAATAAATTATATCTATTTAATAGAAACTTACCATAATAATATTTAATTGATATTATTTTTATATATATAAAAATATAAATTTAATACATTTATATTTATTTAACTTAAACCACGTTCTCCATAGACTGTTCCATTATAGGGAGTACATATATATGCATATTCATACAAATATTTGTATTAATATATATGCATATTTTGATGTTCATTCATACAATAAATATGAATTAAATAAATAAATTTAAATAAATGTATTGTTATTTTAAAATAATATTTATTTAAATTTTTTAAATTAATTAATTAATTAAAATTAAATATAAAGCAAACAGCCGAGCACCCCAGCGCTGGATTTCACCCCTGAATAAACTCTTATAAAATGAAGAAATTTTATTTAAAGATAAGTAGATATTAAATTTTATAAGAATTTAAACAGCGACTCGTGTTTGCCACCGGGGCGAGCCCGGGGGACGCGGGCAGAGGGACCCGTGAGGCGGGGCGGAACCGCGCTCCGCACGGCTTCACGCAGGGCGCCGCCGTGTTTGCACATTAACCAATCATAAGCCGCAATTCACCGTTAGCCCCGCCTATCTCTGTGTATTGACCAATAGCATGCGTTATCGGGCGAGGGCGCTGAGGCCGGTGCAAGATTTTGCTGGTAGCCACGCCCACTCAGTGGGTTTGCCCAATGGCGTGCCGCGTTGGGCGGGGCTTGGCTGAGGGCAGCGATGGCGCTGAGCGTGGCCGTGAGGGCAGCGCGGGGCAGGTGAGGGGACAGAGGGACAGAGAGGGGACAGAGGGACAGAGGGGACAGAGGGACAGAGAGGGGACAGAGGGACAGAGAGACAGAGGGACAGAGGGACAGAGAGGGAACAGAGGGACAGAGGGGACACGGGGACACCCCCGGGGTGGCTGTGCCATGGCGGGTACAGGAATGGCTGAGCCGGGGGATTTGGGACTACCTGGGGAGGGGGTCCGTGGGGAGGGGTCTCACCTGGGGAGGGGGTCCGTGGGGAGGGGTCTCACCTGTGGCGGGGTCCCACCTGGCAGGTCCCACCTGAGGCCAGCACACACCTCTGTGGATGTGTGGCGGGGTTCCCTGGCTGCCCCGGGGGTCGCGCCCCCTCTGTGCCCACCGGGGCCGTCCCCATAACGACCCCAATCCCCCTCCCCCAGGTGGGCGCGCGGCCTGAGCTCGACGGTGCCACCCGCGGGTGGCACGGGTGGTGGCACGGCAGGTGGCACGGCAGGTGGCACGGGTGACACCATCTTCGCGCTGTCCTCGGCGCCGGGGCGCTGCGGCGTGGCCGTGATCCGGGCCAGCGGGCCGGGCAGCGCGGGGCTCCTGCGCAGCCTGACCGGGACCCCCGGGCCGCCCCCGCCCCGGGTCCTGGCCCTGCGCCGCATCCGCGACCCCCGGAGCGCCGAGACCCTGGACAGGGGGCTGGTGGTGTGGTTCCCAGGTGGGACAGGGACACGGTCTTGGGGTTTGGGGGGCAGGAAGGGGGTTGGGGGGCAGGAATTGGCGTTTGTGGCATGTATTGGGGTTTGGGGGGCAGGAATTGGGGTTTGGAGCACGGGTTTGGGGTTTGAGGGGCAGGAATTGGGGTTTGGGGCACGGATTTGGGGTCTGGGCACATGAGGCTGGGGTTTGGGGACACAGGTTTGGGGCCAGGGGACAGCTGCTCCTGGGGCAGCGTCCCCCCAGGGGCCGTTTTGGGGTGTGGGGAGGGGGTGCTGGGGGGGTGGGGGTGCCCACCCGATTCCCTGTGCCCTCAGGGCCCAACAGCTTCACCGGGGAGGATTGTGCCGAGCTGCACGTGCACGGGGGGCCTGCCGTGGTCAGCGGGGTGCTGCAGGCTCTGGGTGAGCCCTGGTCCCGTCCTGCCCCTGTTCCATCCCTCCTGCCCCTATTCCATCCCTCCTGCCCCTGTTCCATCCTTCCTGATCCTATTCTATCCTTCCTGATCCTATTCTATCCCTCCTGCCCCTATTCCATCCCTCATGCCCCTATTCCATCCCTCCTTTCCCATCCCATCCTGATCCTTTTCCTCTTCCCCTCGGGATGCCGGGTGCTCCTCCCCCATTCCTCTTTCCCCTTGATTTTGGGATCCTGGGGGTTCTGAGGATCCTGAGGGATCCTCCCGTGTCCCCCCTCCCTTTGGGATCCGGGGTTCGGGCCGATCCCCCCCGTCCCCTTTCCCCTTTCCCTTTGGGATCCGGGGCTTGGGCCGATTTCCCCGTCCCTTTCCCTTTGGGATCCGGGGTTCGGGCCGATCCCCCCCGTCCCCTTTCCCCTTTTCCCATTGGGATCCGGGGTTCGGGCTGATTCCCCCATCCCTTTCCCCGCCCATGCCCCTCTCGCCGGTGGCTCCCCCAGGCCGCTTGCCGGGGCTGCGTCCGGCCGAGCCGGGCGAGTTCACCCGCCGGGCATTCGCCCACGGCAAGCTGGACCTGACGGCGGCCGAGGGGCTGCGGGACCTGATCGCGGCCGAGACGGAGGCGCAGCGGCGCCAGGCGCTGCGGCAGATGGAGGGGGACCTGGGCCGGCTCTACCAGCGCTGGAGCCACGCCCTGACCCAGGTGGGGCTCACCTGGGGGCCACCGAGCGCCTGGGTGGCACCGAGCCCCTGGGTGGCACCGAGCACCTGGGTGGCACCGAGCCCCTGGGTGGCCACCAGCTCAGGGATGATTCTCACCCCGATGTCAGGCACTCGCCCACCTGGAGGCCTACATCGACTTCAGCGAGGATGACAACGTGGAGGAAGAGGTCCTGGCCCGAGGTGAGTCCCTGCTGTCCCTGCTGTCCCCGCTGTCCCCGTGCCACGGCTGTGTCCCCACGCTGTGACACTGGGAGTGGGGACATCCAGGGGGGCTTGTCCCATCCAGCTGCTCCAAGTCCCTGTTTGTCCCCCTGCGAGGGACAGGGGGTCTCTCCCAGTGTTTTATCCCAGATTTGGGGATGAGGACCCACAGTCTCCCAGTGTTTTATCCCAGATTTGGAGCTTGGCCCCGGGGTCTGTTCTGGAGTTTTGTCCCAGCTCTGGGGCCGCGCTGACCGCCGTGTCCCCGCAGTGGCGGTCACCGTGCGGGCGCTGCTGCAGGAGATCCGGGGCCACCTGCGGGACGGGCGCCGGGGGGAGCTGCTGCGGGGGGGGGTCCGGGCGGTCATCGCCGGCCCCCCCAACGTGGGCAAGAGCAGCCTGCTCAACCTGCTCTGTGAGTGGGCACGGGCACGGGGAGGGCACGGCAGCGCTCCCGGAATTCCAGGGGTGGGGTTCCGCTGTCCCCGGGATGGGGACTGCGCATGGAGGGTTGGCATAATTCCCGAATTTCCAGAGGGAGCCGTTCCCAGTGTCCCCAAGGCCATCATGTTGCCCGTGGGTGTGGAGGGCACGAGATAATTCCCAAAATTCCAGAGGGAACTGTTCCCAGTGTCCCCATGTCACCCGCAGCAGGGACTGGGCGTAGAGGGCTCAAAATGCCCAAAATCCCACAGGGACAATTCCTGCTGTCCCCAAATCAGCCACGGGCACGGAGAGTTGGGATAATTCCCAAATTCCTACTGTCCCCAAATCACCCGTGGGCATGGAGGGTTGGGATAATTCCCAAATTCCCACAGGACCATTCCTGATGGCCCCAATTCACCAGTGGGCACGGAGGGTTGGGATAATTCCCAAATTCCTACTGTCCCCAAATCCCCCACGGGCATGGAGGGTTGGGATAATTCCTGAATTCCTGCTGTCCCCAAATCCCCCACGGGCATGGAGGGTTGGGACAATTCCTGAATTCCCGGCGTGCCCAGGCCGGCGCCCGGCTGCCATCGTGTCACCCTCGGCGGGCACCACGCGGGACGTGCTGGAGGTGGCCCTGGACATCGGGGGGTACCCGCTGCTGCTCAGCGACACCGCGGGGCTGCGCCGCGCCGCCGACCCCGTGGAGCGCGAGGGCGTGCGCCGGGCACGGGAACGGTCAGCTCGGGGGACTCTGGGGGGTTTTGTGGGGCTTTGGGGGGTTTTGCGGTGTTTTCAGGGATTCTGCAGTATTTGGGGTTTTTTTGGGGGGGGGGTTTGTGATGATTTGGGCTGTTTTGTGGGATTTTGCGGTGTTTTGGGATGTTTTGGAGGGTTTTGGGGTGTTTCGGGGTGTTTTGGGGGTTTTGCGGTGTTTTTGGGGTTCTGGGGTATTTTGTGGGGGTTTGTAGGGGTTTGTGGGGTTTTGCAGTGTTTTGGGATGTTTCAGGGTGTTTTGGGGAGTTTCAGGGAGTTTCGGGGTGCCCCCAGAGCTGAGCCGTGATGGTGACGCGGCCGTGTGTGTCCCCAGGCTGTGCCAGGCCGATCTGGTGCTGGCAGTGCTGGATGCCACCTCGGTGTCACCCGCGCCGGCGGCTCTGGGGGCGGCGCTGGCGGCGCTGGAGCCGCCCCCGGGCACCCCCTGTTTGCTGGTGCTCAACAAGGCCGACCTGCTGGGGGGGCCCCGGGGGTCCGCGGGTGGTGACCAAGGACCCCCGGCCGCCCTCCTGTCCTGCGAGGGGTCCCCGAGTGCCACCCCTGCCCAGGGACCCCCGGCCACCCTCCTGTCCTGCAAGACGGGCGAGGGGCTGGAGGCGCTGCTGGAGCTGCTGGCCCAACAGCTGGCACAGCTGTGAGTCCGGGGGGATCCCAGACCCTCGTCCCACTTTTTGGGGTGGCTGATCCGTTTTTGCCATGGCTGATCCCCTTTTCTGTTCCCAATCCCCTTTTCTGTTCCCAATCCCCTTTTCTGTTCCAAATCCCCTTTTCTGTTCCCAATCCCCTTTTCTGTTCCCGATCCCCTTTTCTGTTCCCAATCCCCTTTTCTGTTCCCAATCCCCTTTTCTGTTCCCGATCCCCTTTTCTCTTCCCAATCCCCTTTTCTGATCCCCTTTCGCATTCCCGATCCCTTTCTATTACCGACCCCTTTCCCTTTTCTGTTCCCAATCCCATTTTCTGTTCTTGATCCCCTTTTATGTTCCCGATCCCCTTTTCTGTTCCCAATCCCTTTTTCTGTTCCCAATCCCTTTTTCTGTTCCCAATCCCCTTTTATGTTCCCAATCCCCCTTCCATGCCTGATTCCCTTTCCCATTCCCGATCCCTTTCCATTCCCGACCCCATTCCCAATCCCGATCCCCTCCTGTTCCCGATCCCATTTCCCATTCCCGTTCCCGTTCCGTTCCCGTTCCCATTCCCAATCCCATTCCCATTCCCGATCCCGTTCCCGTTCCCAGCTGCGGGGACCCGCTCTCGGGCTGGCCCAGCCTGACGCAGAGCAGGCACAGCCGCCACCTCGGGGCGTGCGCGGCGGCCCTGGCGCGCTTCGGGGACCTCGGGGACAGCGGGGACCTGGCGCTGGCGGCCGAGCAGCTGCGGCTGGCACGGCGGGAGCTGGGCAGGATCACCGGCCACGTGGGCGCCGAGGACGTCCTGGATATCATTTTTAGGGATTTTTGCGTCGGGAAGTGACGCTGGCACTCCGTGGGGTGGGGTGGGGTGGGGTGTCACTGGGATTAAACCGTGGTGCCTTTGGTGGCTTTGCTGTTGTCCCCTTGCTGGTGGCCGCGGTTGGCAGCGTGTCCCCAGCCCCAAATGTGGGGAGAAAAACCCTGGGAGAAGTCCCAGTCCCCAGCCAGGGGGACAAACGAGGAGCTGGAAGGGAAAAGCCACCCCAGATGTCCCCGCTTTGGGGTGTCCCCATCCCCGGTGTGACAAGGGGCACATCCCTGCGCCCCCAACCCCAGGGATTCAGCGTGAGGGGTTTGGGACCCCCAGCTTCAATCCACGGAATTCCCCCAAGACGTGGCGGATGTGGGATCTTGCTGGCGCTCTGCCACCCCAAAAATGGTGGCATCCCTTGGGGACACCCCTGTGCCACCCCCACCACCGTGTGCCACCCGCCTTGTGCCACGCCCTGGGTGGCGCTCCCAGGCTGGGGAAGCACCTGGAGCTCCGAGATTATCCATGGAGGAATTCCAGGAAATCCTCTGGCAGCGCCTGAGCTTCGGGGACAGTGAGAGTTGTCACACTTGTCACCTTTGTCACCACGGTGCCACCCTGGGGTGGGCAGGAGGTGCGGGGGGGTGGCATCGCCATCCTTGGAGGGGCAGCAGGAGGTGGCAGTGCCCTTCTCCCGGGCCTGGGGGACACTTGGGGCGGCCCAGGGGACAAGGGACACTCCGGGAGGCCTCGGTGGCGCCTGGCGTGCGGGCAGGGGCGGCGGGGCAGGAAAAGGATTTTCCACAGGAAACGCAGCCGTAAATCCCGGGAATAAATCCTGGGAATCCATCCCTGCCCCGCTCCGGGGGGTCAGGAGGACAAGGACAGCGCGGTCCCTCATCCTTCTTTGGGGACAAGGACATCCCTGTCCCTCATCCTCTGGGGATGAGGACATCCCTGTCCTTTGTCCTTGGGCATGTCCCACCCCTCTGTGCCGAGCTGGGGTGGAATTCCCGCTCCCAAAATTCCCGATTTTTGCATGGATTTCCATCCACACGAGCAGCGAGTTGTCCCCACATTTGGGCCAGGGGACAAGGACAGCGCTGTCCCTCGTCCTTTAGGGACAAGGACATCCCTGTCCCTCGTCCTCAGGCGTGTCCCACCCCTTTGTGCGGAATTCCCACTCCCAAAATTCCCGATTTTTCCATGGACTTCCATCCACACGAGCGGCGAGTTGTCCCCAGATTCGGGGCCGGCTGTTGTCCCGCTCCAGCCGAAAGGCGGGGATACATGGAGGGGACACGCGGGGCCGGGGACACGGGGACACGGGGACACGGGGACACGGGGAGGGTGGCCCTGGGCCGGGGTTGCCATCCGTGCTGCGGGAAGCACCTCCTGGGCGGCTCTCCTGCTCCTCCCGGGCTTTTCCAGCCTTAGCCGCTGTGGGAAAACGGGATCAGGTCGGGGGCGCGTCCCTCGGGGGGCCCGGGGAGGGTGGCCCGGTGTCACCTGTGTCCCCTCACCTGGCGTTCTTCAGGGTGGCCGTGTACTGCTCGATCAGCTGCAGCATCCGCTGGAGCTCCGCCGGGTTCTGCATCCCTGCCGGGATCGGGGTGGGGATGTGGCATCGGGATGGGATCCATGGGGCAGGGTGGGCACCCAGGGGGGCACCCAGGGGGGCACCCAGGGGGGCACCCAGGGGGACACGGTGACCCCCAGCGTGTCCCCAGTCCCACCGGGACTCACCCATGGTGCCCAGGGTGGCCGGGCTCCTCAGGAGCTCCATGTAGGTGCCCGTGCCGGGGAAGGAGCCCGAGCGGCCGGCGCTGCCCAGCGCCTGCGAGCCTGGCAGGTCCAGCTGGGACATCTGGGGGGACAGGGGGGGCTCAGGGGTGGCACCACTCAGAGGTGGCACCGCTCAGCGGTGGCACCACCCCCAGCAGGAAACTCCCGCACAAGCAAAATCCAGATGTCTGGAAGGAAAACCCCAGTGCAGAGGTGGCCGTGCCCGTGTCCCCATGGGGGTCCCCATGTACCTATATCACCAGTGCCCCAATGTCCCGTACCCCATGTCCCCATGGGAGTCCCCATGTACCCATGTCCTCAGTGCCCCAGTGTCCCGTACCCCATGTCCCCATGTCCCATATCGCCATGTCCCTTGTGCCATGGTGTCCCCATGTCCCATGTCCCCATATCCCCATGTCCCTTGTGCCATGCTGTCCCCAGTGCCCCAATGTCCCTGTCCCCATGTCCCGTATCGCCATGTCCCTTGTGCCATGGTGTCCCCATGTCCCCAATGTCCCTTGTGCCATGGTGTCCCCAGTGTCCCAGTCCCCATGTCCCCTGTCCCACGTCCCCGTGTCCCCACCTTGGTTCCCATGCAGACCCCGAGCTGCTCCCTCAGCGACTCCGCCAGCGCCGCCGCCGCCTTCCGCTTCTCCTCCAGCTCCTTCAGCGCCTTCTCCTTCTCGGCCTGCAGCCTCTTGCCCTCCTCCTCGCCGTCCTTCTGGCGCTGCTGCAGGCCCTGCAGGCTCCTGCGCAGCTCCTGCAGGTCGCGGGAGCAGTTGAGGCGGCACTGCTGCACGCTGAGCTCGCAGCTGCTCCTCCAGACGAACTGCGAGTCGCGCTCCTGCTGCCGCCGCAGAAGGCCCTCCACGCGCTCGCGGATCTGCCGCAGCTCTGCCTCGGCCTCGCCGCAGCGCAGCTGCTTCACCAGCTCCGCGATGCGCGGGAACTTCTCGCCGATGTCGCTCTGCAGCGAGCTGCAGCGGTGCCGCTGCACCTCCAGCTCCATCCTGCTCAGCTCCTCCTGCGTCCTGGCGCTCCGCAGCTCCTCCTGGCACCTGTCCCTCTCCTGGGTGGCTTTGGCCAGCTGGGCCTGGCTCTGCCGGCCGCTGTCCTCCAGGCTTTTCTTGGACGAGCTGGCCTGGTCCAGCTGCCGCTGCAGCTGCAGCTTCTCGGCTTGGGGGGAGTTGGGGGTCAGGGTTTGGGTCTGGGGAATTTGGGGTCTGGGGGTTTGGGTCCCCCCGGGTGCCACCCCGTGGCTTGGGGTGACGCCTGTGCCTGCTGCAGGTCACCTGGGGGTGCCCAGGAGGGGGGGAGGGAGAGTTGGGGGTGCTGGGGGTCCCCAGGAGTTTTTGGGGGCTGGGGGGGGGGGGTCTCTTACCATTGCAGGTGGTGTTGATGAGGGTGGTGATCACCTGGCACTCGGTCAGCCTCACCTGCCGGAACAGGAGCTCCTGCAGCTGCACGGGAGGAAGAGGAGGAGGAGGAGGAGAGGGATCAGAACACCCCAAAAACATCACCAGCACCATCCCGGTCCCCAAAGGTGACAGAGAGAGCCTGGGGGATGAGGAGGAGGAGGAGGAGGAGGAGGAGGAGGAGGAGGAGGAGGAGGAGGAGGAGGAGGAGGAGGAGGAGGAGGAAGAGGAGAGGGATCAGAACATCCCGAAAGGAGCCCCGGGCACCACTTCAGGGGCTCTGGGAGCGCTCCAGGGAGGAAGAGGAGGAAGAAAAGGACCCCAAGATTGGAACCCCCTTAGCCAAAACCCCCGGCACTTTCTGGCGTCCCCTCGCCGCCGCCACCCGGAGGGACGAGGCGGCGACAGCGGCGTCACCTGCGGGCGGTGCTCACCTGCGGGATGCTGCGGGACGCCTGGCTGCTGTTGCACTTCTCCAGCTCCCTCTGCACCTTCAGCGCCAGCCCCTGCAGCTTGTCCTTGTCCTTCAGCGTGGCGTTGAGCACGCGGCTCAGGTTGGCGTTGGTGGCGTCCAGGGCGACAATCCTGCGGTAGTGGCTCTGCACCCGCTCCTCCAGCAGCCTCAGGTGGGTGTCGGTGCCCGCCTGGGCGTTGCCGTAGACCATGAAGAGCACGAGCCCCAGGATGATCAGGAACTGGATCAGCGAGGTGAAGAGGAAGATGTACTTGAGGTAAAATCCGCAGTCGCGCTTGGGCATCGCCTGCTTGGGCTCCAGCCCGAATTTGGCCATGGCGAAGCTGCTCTTCTCCATCCTCGCCTCCGCTCTGGCCGCCCCTCCCCGCCGGGACCCCGCTTTTCAGGGGGCCGCGCCGGGGCGGGGCTGCTCCCGACGCCGTGTTTATATCCCAGGATTTAATATTTCCTCCTGCCGGGCTCCTTCCTGCCCTGCCGGATGCTCCCGGGGACCCGCCGGGTTATCAGGGCGCAGCTTCTGCTGGGATTGTTGTTCCTGAAGTGCGAAAGCAGAAAAGGAAAAAAAAACCATTTCAATCCTTCCATCCCATTTCGGTGCGCCTCTGGAATTGTTTGGAGTTGTCTCGCCTCGAAATTCCCACTCCGGCGTGGGAATTCCAGGGAATTCCATCCCGACAGGAGATCAGGGCGCTGGAATTATTGCTCCTGAAGTGGAGGGGGGAAAAAAAATGGGATTTCAATCCCTCCATCCCATTTCAGTGCCTGGTGCGCCCTGGAATTGTTTGGAGTTGTCTCGCCCCAAAATTCCTGCTCCCGGCGTGGGAATTCCAGGGAATTCAATCCCGACGCGTGATCAGGGCGCTGGGGTTGTTGTTCCTGGAGTGGAGGGGGGAAAAAATGGGATTTTGTTCCCTCCATCCCGTTTTAGTGCCCAGTGCGCCCTGGAATTGTTTGGAATTGTCTCGCCACAGAATTTCTGCTCCGGCGTGGGAATTCCAGGGAATTGGATCCCGCCGGGCGATCAGGGCGCGGCTTCTGCTGGGGTTGCTGTTCCTGGAGTGGAGAAGGGGGATAAAAAGTGGGATTCCATTCCTTGCATCCCATTTCAGTGCCCAGCGCGCATCCCTGGAATTGCCTCCCGCCCCAAAATCACGGGATTCGATTCCCCCTCATCCCATTTCGGTGCCCGGTGCCCCTGGGATTGTCCGGGATTGTCTGGAATTGTCTGGGATTGCCTCCCGCCCCGAAATTCCCACCCCCAGCACGGGAATTTCAGCGGTGATCCTGCCGGGAGTGCGGGCTGGGGACCGCGGGGGTGGCACGGGGGTGGCGCGGGGGTGGCACACGGGGACCGCGGGGCCGAGGGCACCGTGGCCGGGCCGGGCCGGGCCGGGAGCGGCTCTGCCACCCCTTCCCCGCGTCTCGGGCGCGCTTTGAAGCGGTTTCCAGGAAAGTTGGATTTTCCTGCGGCCGCATCCTGTGCAAAAGGACAGCGGCGCATCCGGGCCCCCCCGAGCCCCCCGACCCGCCGGGGGGGACGGAGGGGACACCCCAGTGTCCCCCGAGCCCTCCGGTACCGGGAAGTGACAGAGGTGACATCCCGGTGTCCCCTTGGGGCGCTTCCAGCGCTCCCTGGGATCGGGGGGATCCCAAACCCCAAACCTGGGTGGGGCCAGAGCGGCCCCCCCACCCCGCGAGGGTTTGGGATGGGGAACTGGGAACGGAATTCCCGAACTGGGAACGGCATTCCCGAACTGGGAACGGCATTCCCGAACTGGGAATGGAATTCCCGAACTGGGAACAGAGTTCCCGAACTGGGAACGGAATTCCCGAACTGGGAATGGAATTCCCAAACTGGGAACAGAATTCCTGAACTGGGAGCAGCGTTCCCACGATGTGAGGATGTGTTAATTACAGCGGGGGGTAAATTCTGGAGGTAAATTTGGGGATGGGGTGGCAGTGTCCCTCAGGGGGGTGGCACTGTCCCCTCAGGGGTGGCACTGTCCCCTCGGGGGGGGCGCGGGTGACTCACTGTTATTTGCAGCTCAGGAAAAGGAAGCGGCGGTAGCTGAGAATGGCTCCGGCAGCGACACCGGCCGGGCCATCGCAGACACTTCCCGGTCCCCGGGGGACGCGGAGCAGCCAGGGCAGGAAGCTGCCACCGGCCCGGGGTCACCGCCCGGCGGGCCCCGCGCCCCAGCCCCCCCCCGGGCATCCTGCGGGGCTGGGGGATCGCGACATCCCCACGGGATGGGGACAGGGGGACGGTGCCCTGGACACCCCCGGACACCCCCAGAGGTGGCACTGAGGGACAAAGGGGCAGCGTCCCCCCCTTCAGCCGCGCCACCCCAAAGGCCACCCTTTTCCCTGTGCCGAGTCCCTTCCATGTCCCCAGGGTGTCCCCCAGGGACCCGCAGGGACCGGGGTGGGGACACGGTGACACCCCCGGCTCTGCCATGCCCGGCTGGGCGGAGCCGCGGTGGCAGCGATGTCCCCGCGCGGGGACACTCACCGGGAGCGGCCCCACGACACGGGGCGGCTCTGTGTCCTCCAGTCCTCCCTCGAGGTGTTTTGGGGCTCCCCAGTTCCCCCTTGGGGTGTTTTGGGGTCCCTCAGTTCCCCCTCGGGGTGTTTTGGGGCTCCCCAGTTCCCCCTCGGGGTGTCCCTGGCAGAGCCGTTGGGATCCGGGATGGGAGAAATTCCGGGAATTTGGGCGACATTTGGGTTTGGGAGGGGACAATTGGGGTCAGGGGAACAGGGGACATCCGGCTGGTGGCACAGGGAGGTGGCGCAGGGAGGTGTCCTGCGAGCAGCGCAGCTTTTATTGCCCAGATTCCCCAAATTCCCCAAATTAATTCCCGAAATCCCCGCTGTTCCCGGGCTCCGGAGCGCCGCGGGTGCGACTCCCGGAGGGAATTCCAGGGAAAAGCGCGCCCGGGGTGAGCCCGAAGCGCCCCAAAAAGGGCAGAAGGGACCCGGCTGTGCCCGGGACGGGGACACGGCGGCAGCGGGACCCGGGGTGGCAGCACGGAGGGGCCGGGCGTGGTGGGACCGGGACCGGGACCGGGACCGGGACCGGGATCGGGACTGGGACCGGGATCGGGACCGGGATCGAGATCGGGACCGGGATCGAGATCGGGATCGGGATCGGGACACGGCGAGATCGGGACCGGGACCGGGATCGGGATCGGGACACGGCGAGATCGGGACCGGGACCTGGATCGGGATCGGGATCGGGATCGGGATCGGGGCCGGGACCGGGATCGGGATCGGGATCGGGATCGGGATCGGGATCGGGATCGGGACTGGGACACGGCAGGATCAGTATCGGGATTGGGACTGGGACACGGTGGGATCAGGAATTAATGGGATTAGGGATTCAATGGGATCAGGACACGGGATGGGGTCAGGAATCACAGTGGGATCAGTGGGATCAGGGATCAGTGGGATCGGGGATCGATGGAATCGGGGATCAGTGGGATCGGGGATAGGTGGGATCATGTATAAATGAGACCAGGGATCAATGGGATCAGCGGGATCAGGAGCCGTGTCCCACCCCCATCGCTGCCGCGCTGCGCTGGCGGCTCCGGGGCCGGGCCAGCCCCGTGGGTACCGCCGGGGACACCGCGGCAGCACCGGGGACACCGCGGCACCGGCGATGTGGCGCTGGCTGCGGGGACCGGGGGGCTGCGGGGCCTCAGCCCTTCCTGCAAGGGGGGGACGGGGAGTGAGTCCCGCACGGGTCCCGCTGCCCTGGGGACACGGTGGCAATGGCAGTGAAGCCACCTCTCCTTGCTGTGCCTCCTCCCGGGCTGTCCCCCCTCCCCGGGCTGTCCCCCTGGCCCTGTCCCCCTCTCGGGGCTGTCCCCCGTGCCCGGGCTGTCCCCCTGGCCCTGTCCCCCCTCCCCGGGCTGTCCCCCTGGCCCTGTCCCCCTCTCGGGGCTGTCCCCCGTGCCCGGGTCCCCCCAGCAGTACCGGCCCGGGGGACACCTGCGCCCGCTGCCTCTGTCCCGGCCCCGCCGCCGCAGCGCCTCCAGCTCGGCCGCGTGGTCCCGGCTGTGGGGACAGCGGAGCCGCGTCGGGGGGTGGCCCTGTCCCCAGCTGGGGACACCAGAGGGGTCCCCAAGGGGAGGAGGGACAAGGCAGGGTGTCACAAGGGCGGGGAGGGGGCTCTGCTTTCGGGGGGTGGCCCACCCTGAGGAGGGTGACAATGACCCGACAGGGGGATGTCCCTGGGGACAGGGGGATGTGTCCGGGGCACGGAGGGATGTCCCCAAGGGCCAGGGGTGACCCCGGGGGACAGGGCCCTTACAGGCTGTCCTGCAGCTCCCGCTGCCGCGCCTCGCAGCGCTCCCGGTGCTCCCGCAGCTCCCGCTGCTGCTCCAGCGCCTCCTGCAGCCGCCGCCGCAGCCCCCGCGCCTCCTCCGCGCCCCGCGCCGCCTCCTCTGGGGACAGCGGCGACAGCGGCGACAGCGGCGTCACCCCGGGCCGGAGCGCGGCCCCGGCCGGCCACTGGCCAGGGGACAGGGCTCACCTTGCAGCGCCACTTTGTCACCGGCCAGCCGGGCCCGCTCGCGCCGCAGCGCCGCCAGCTCGTCCCCCAGCGCGGTGACATTGGCCTCCAGCCGGGCCTGGGGACAGGCGACACGCGGGGACAGTGATGGGCAGTGTCCCCTCCCGCCCCGACTCTCCATCTGCTGCCAGAGCCCTCCCGCTCCTCTGCCTCCCTGTCACCCGTGTCCCCGGGTGTCCCCGCGCTCCTGGTGGCCCTGGGGGCCCTTCTCATCCTCCTCCAAAGGTGGGGACACGGATTTGGGGACAATCCCTCTCCTCGGGAGGGATGGCTCGTCCTGAGGGTGGGGAGCACGGGAGAGCCCCGGGTCACCCGTGTCCCCGGGTGTCCCCACGCTCCTGGTGGCCTCGGGTGCCTGTCCCCCCTCCTTCACCTTCCTCAAAGGCTCGGGGACGTGGCTTTGGGGACAGGGAGGGGACAGGGGCACAGGAGCTCTCCGAGGGGCTGCCCAGCCCTGCCCGGCTCCCGGCGCCAGCCCCGGGAAACGGGGACATTTTCCAGCCTCTCCGGGCCATTGTTCAGCCGGATGAGCCCGAGAGGGGCGGCGGGACCCGGCTCTTCCTCCGGGCCCTTTCCCGGCTGCAACCGCAGCTAAAAATACCCGGGAAGGACAAACCCGGGAGCCGCGGCCCCGCCGGGAGCGGCCCGGGGCAATGACAGGGATGGAACCGGCAACGGCGGCCCTGCCGGGAGCGGGACGGGGCGGGGAGCACGCCGGGCTCGTTTTTGGGGTGTCCCCTGCAGGGACGTGGCGGCTGCGCCCCTCGGGAGCATCCCGGGCTCATTTTTGGGGTGTGGCTGTGCCCCCCAGGTGCCTGTGCCCGTTTCCCCGCGCACCATCCCGGCTGGAACTTTCCGGGTGGGAATTCCCAAGGGATGGAGCAGCCCCCGGTCCTGGCTGCTGGGCAGGGAGGGAGGGCCAGGGGACGGCGCTGAGGGGACAGGCGGTGCTGTCCCCGTCACGTTTTCCACCCCAAAATGACCAAACTCCTCCTTGTCCCCATCCCTCCGGCCACGTGTGGGGACAGGGGACGGCGCTGAGGGGACAGGGGGTGCTGTCCCCGTCACATTTCCCACCCAAAATGACCAAACTCCTCCTTGTCCCCATCACATTTTCCACCCAAAACGACCAAGCGCCTCCTTGTCCCCGTCCCCCGGGCCACCTACCGCCCGCTGCCGGCAGGAGCCGAGGCTGGCACTGTCCCTGCTGCTGTCCCCTCGTGCCCGCGCCAGCTCCCGGCGCAGCGCGTCCCCGTCCCTCCGCAGCCGCTCCCGCTGCCGCCGCAGCTCCTCCAGCCGCGCCCCGAGCTCCCGGCTCGCGTTGGCCGCCCGCTCCCGGCAGCCCCGGAGCTCGCCCAGGGCCTCGGAGCGCCGCGCCAGCACCGCCACCGCCACCGTCACCGCCGCCACCAGCAGCAGCAGCGCCGCGCTCAGCCCCAGCGCCTTCAGCGTGGCCCTGGGCACCGCGGGGTCCATGCCCGAGGGGACAGCGGGGACAGGAGGGGACAGCAGGGGATGGCAGGGACAGGAGGGGACAGCAGGGACAGCAGGGGAGAGCAGGGACAGCAGGGGACAGCAGGGACAGCAGGGGACAGGAGGGGACAGCAGGGACAGCAGGGGACAGCAGGGGACAGCAGGGGACAGCAGGGACAGCAGGGACAGCAGGGACAGCAGGGGACAGGAGGGGACAGCAGGGACAGCAGGGGACAGCAGGGGACAGGAGGGGACAGCAGGGACAGCAGGGACAGCAGGGACAGCAGGGGACAGGAGGGGACAGCAGGGACAGCAGGGGACAGCAGGGACAGCAGGGACAGGCGGAGCTGCTCCGGCGGTGGCCGTGCCGGGATGTGGCGGTGGCACTGCTGGCGACGCTGTAATTGTCGCGCGTGGGCCGAGGGCTGTGGCGGGTCACGGCCCAGAATAGGTTCTGTTGGTGCTGGGGAGGGGACAGGGCCGTGCCCCAGCTGCGGGGACAAACCGCGGTGACCTCGGTGGCCGCTGGGGCGCGGAGGTTCTCCGCTGTCCCCACCGCGGAGCTCCGTGTCCCCCGCAGCGAGGGAACGGCAGAGTTTGCCAGGTTTTCTTGGAATTCGGTTAAAAATCAGGAATTGTGATCTCTGTGGCTCAGGGCAGCGTTGGCACCTCCCTGTCCCCTGACCCTGACCCTGACCCCTGACCCTGTCTCCTGACCCTGACCCCTGACTCCTCCCTCTCCACGGTGGCCGGAGGGGAATGGTCACTCCGGGATGTCCCCATGGAGCCCCACCCGGGGCACCCCCGAGCCCCACCCGGGCCCAGCGGCTCCGAGTCCCCAAAAAAGGAAATCACGTGATTCCCAAAATCCCCCGCACGGGGACAGTCGGTGACCTCTGACCTCCGGGCTGGATCTGGGGACATTCCCGGGATGGATTTGGGGACATTCCCGGGATGGATTTAGGGACATTCCCGGGATGGATTTGGGGACATTCCAGCCCTGGGATCCAGAGGAATCGGGGCTGAATAATCCCAAAATTAAGGATTCCCCAGTCCCGTGTGCCGGGACCGAATCAAGGGTCCAAAAGAATTGAAATAATTCCCAGTTCAGCCGGGAAGGAAACAATTTGTGATGATTCAGAGTCCAGCCAGGACAGAAGCAATGTTCAATAATTCAGATTTTAGCCAGGACAGAAGCCATGTTCAATAATTCAGATTTTAGGTAGAATTGAAGCAATGTTCAATAATTCTGAATTCAGCCAGGACAGGAGCAATGTTCAATAATTCAGATTTTAGGTAGAAGAACAGAAGCAACAGAGCACCCCAAACTGGGCACAGGCCAGGGATGTTTCCTCCCTGCCCATCCCAAAAAAAACCCCAAAAATAGGTGCTCCACTTTTAGGACTTCTTCTCCTTCATGTGACAGATTTTTATTTTAGAAAGTCCCCCCACCCAAAAAAAAAAAAAAAAAAAAGAGAAAAACACCAAATATTTACCAAAATTTCCAGCCTTTTTTTTTTTTTTTTTTTTTTTTTTTTAAGGATTATTTTTCCCTTTTATTTTGATGATTTTGAGGCGGATTTTCACCATCTGGAGAATGAAAAGGCTCTGGCAGGGCCGGTGAAGTGTCAGCGAAAAGGCTTTAAAAATGTTGTTATTATTATTATTTATGGGCTGGAGCGCCAGAGAGGGAAAGGACGCCAAAAAAAGTTCAAAAATAGCTGGAAAAAGCAAAAAAATAAAACAACAAATCGGGATGTTTTTTCCAGAAGCGACTCGTTCTGAACATTTGGGATGCGAAAGCTGCAAAAAAAAAACATTTTAAAAAAATCCAAAAACCCCTTGGAAAAGCAGAAATCTCCTGGGGACAAGAGGAACGTTCCTGTGGAATTCCGTGTTGGGAAAGAGAAATGAGGGAGCGCGGAGCCCCTCGGGCTGTTCCCAAAAATCTCCCAAAAATCTCCCGGATCCTGGAGACCTCCCCAGGGGAAGAGCACTGGGAAGGGTGGGGTGGGGTTTGGGGTCGGGGGTTTTGGGGTCGGGGGTTTTTGGGGTCGGGGTTTTTGGGATCGGGGGTTTTTGGGATTGAGGGTTTTTGGGATCAGGGATTTTTGGGATCGGGGGTTTTTGGGATCTGGGATTTTCCCAGCTCCTGGCAGAGGGAAGGGCTGGAGCACAGCGGCTCCTCTTGGCCAGACGGGCTGGAATTCCACAGCTGGATCCCGGCTGGAATTCCACAGCTGGATCCCGGCTGGAATTCCACAGCTGCAGCATCACAGCTGGATCCGCTGGAATTCCGCAGCTGGATCTGCCGGAATCTGGTTTGGGATCCCCACAAGTTCCAATTCGGGATCCCAGGGATTCCCTGATTTGGGGTCCCCAGGGATGCCTCATTTGGGGACAGGCATGGAAAAGGGGATCCCAATCCTTTCCTTCCCCTTTTCACCCCCTCTTCCCTCTCATCCTTTTTTTTGTTGTTGTTTTGTGGGTTTTTCTCTATTTAGGGCCTTTCCAGCTGCTTCCTTTTGTCCTTTTAATTCAGACCCTGTCATTACATTTTCCATTCTTTCAAAGAAATAAAAAAAACCAACCCAAAAGCGGCTTCCCAGGGGCCTTTTCCAGCTCCTTATTCCCGAAGGGAAGGGGTGGAATATCCCAAAATATTTTTAAAAATCCCCAAAAAATCCCATATAAATACTGAATCCCCCTGCTCCCTTTTCCCTGTGGGTTTTTTTGGGGTTTTTGGGATGCTGTGGGAGGGGGGAATATCCCAAAAAAGCCGCTCCGAGATCCCGACGTGCTGGCACATCCTTTCCCCATCTTTTTTTGGGATCCGGCCATCCCAAATTGCCGGGGCGGGCCGGGAGCTGCCGGCTCCGGGCTCCCGTTCCCTTCCCCGCTTGGAATGGGGCCGGGAATGGGGAAAAGAAGCAGCTGAGCTTTTCTCATCCCGCTTTTCCGCTCTCCCGGCGTGTTCCCAGCCCTGCTCCTGCCTCCCGGAGCCTCCAGGGTTAAACCCACCTCTGGCTCACCCCAAATCCACGGCCGGGACCTTTCAGGGCATCCTGGCTCCATCCCCAGCCCGCATTCCATACAAAAGCCGGGGGAAATTGAGGTTTTTCCACCCAAAAGCTGCAAAAATCCCCCCTGGATCCCCCATCCCACAGATGGGTGCCCCCGGGGTGTCCCTGGCCTTGGGGTCACCCCTTCTGTCCCTCTTTGGGGGCCTTTTGGTCCTTTCCCCACTTCCCCCCCCCCTTTTTCTCACATTTCCCCCAATTTTTCCCCCTTTTTGGCCTTTTCCCCTCCTATTTTCTTTTCCGGCTCCAGGAAGAATGGTGGGAGCTGTTTCCATCTGCCCTGTCCCAAGCCGGCATTCCCACATGGAATTCCAGCATTCCCACAGGATCCAGCATTCCCACAGGATCCGGCATTCCCACATGGAATTCCCACATTCCCACATGGAATTCCCACATTCCCACATGGAATTCCCACATTCCCACACGGAATTCCCACATTCCCACATGGAATTCCCACATTCCCACACGGAATTCCCACATTCCCAGAGGATCCCGGCCCTGTCCGGCCGCTGCCACCGGGGGGTTCCCCTGCGTGTCCCTGGGGAGGGGACGTGGAACCCGGTGGGGACAATTCCCGGAGCCCAGGGAAGCAGGATCCAGGGAAAAGCAGGATCCGGGGAAAAGCAGGATCCGGGGAAAAGCAGGGCCCGAAATAGGGAGAATCCAGGCATAAGGAACATCCAGGGATAAAGCAGGGATGAGGAAAATCAGGGACAGATGGGAGCCAGGGAAAAGGAGCACCCAGGAACGGGCAGCAGTCAGGATAAGGAGAATCCGGGATAGGGAAAATCCAGGATAAGGAAAATCTGGGATAAGGATCTCCCGGGGTAAGGAAAATCCGGGATAAGGATCACCCAGGGTAAGGCAAATCCAGGGCAAAACGGCATAAGGAGCACCCCGGGATGGGAGAGGAATTCAGGGACAGGCGGATCCAGGAGAAAAGAGTTCCCAGGAAAAGGAAAATCCAGGATAAGGAGAAAGCAGGACAAGGAAAACCCAGGATAAGGAGAAAGCAGGACAGGGAAAACCCAGGCTAAGGAGAACCCAGGGACAAACAACAGCCAGGCCGGGGCCAGCCCAGGACAGGGAGCAGCCGGGCACAGGCAGCATCCAGATTTTGGGAAGGGGGGTGGGATGACGCCTCGCCGTGGAATCTCCGCATTCCCGGTGCCTCCGCCCTCCCTCCGCTCCCCCCCGCCGTGCCCGCGCTGGGATCGCGTCCCGGCGGGACCGGGCCGGGGTTCGGCCGCTGCTCCGGCCAAGGAACCCCCCCGGGGAGCCCGCGCCCCCTTTGATCCCGCGTCCAGCCAGAAGAGTGGAAAAATGGGTGGAAAAATGGGTGGAAAAATGCCGCGCCGGGGCCAGGGCGGCTTGGAGAAGGGAAATGTTGTCCCGGCCCTGGCCCGGCAGCGCCGCCGGTTCCATTACAGCATCCCCGGCCGGGACGGCGGGGCGGGGGGGCTCCCAAAAATAACCCCGCGGGACACCGGGGTGGCACAGCAGCGCGGAGCCGCCCGCGCCACACCCCGCTGGGCTGCCCGGCCGGTGGCTCCGCACCTGGCGGTACCGGGGGGCACCGGGAGGGCCCCCCCAGCCCCGTCTGCCACGTCCCGCTGGCACCGCGCCCCCCCCCGGGGCTGCCAGCCCGGCCGAGCCCGGCCCAAGGCAAACAGGAGCGGCCGGGACGGAGCTACCGAACGGGGGCAGGGGCTGGGGACACCGGGGAGCACCGGGGGAACACACCGGGGGACAGCGGGGGACACCGGGGGACAGCGGGGAGCACCGGGGAGCACCGGGGGACAGCGGGGAGCACCGGGGGACAGCGGGGGACAGCGGGGAACACCGGGGAACAGCGGGGAGCACCGGGGGACACCGGGGAGCACCGGGGGACAGCGGGGGACAGCGGGGGACAACGGGGAGCACCGGGGGACAGCGGGGAACACCGGGGGACACCGGGGTACAGCGGGGAGCACCGGGGGACAGCGGGGGACA